GTGCAGTACTGGGACAAGCGTGAGGAAGCCACCAAGGACTTCCCTGTGCAGTACTGGGACAAGCGTGAGGAAACCAAGCACTGAATCCCTAGTCTTTTCCTTTTGGGTTCGAGGTAAATATTCAGGTGCTTCTCTCTAAACAGCCTGCAGGTTGCGATACATTTGTTTATTCTGATTAGCAACTGTGTACATACCTACCACAGATCCGAGATGCTTATATTACCCTAAAGGTCTATTGTACTCAGTTTAGCCGACCTTGCCACAAAATGTCCTTGTAGAGTAGTGCAGCTAAGCCTCCCTCAATTACACGTACATCACAAAGTGGTAGTGAAGGGATGGCATAACAACGGTTATAATAAGAGGAAGCGTCACATATCATACCAACTATTCAACGAGGCCACTACTTTCGAGAATTAGAAGACGGCATTTTAATTCGCTATACTTAGACTATACTTATGATGATTTACCTGTTCCACAATTTCCATCAAATGCCTACTTTCCATCATTCGCACCAGCTACGTAAGATCCTTCTAAGACAGCCTAACCCCTGAATGGATATTTCTATACATTATCTGCAATTTACTGGAGGGTTATCACCTTACTTCAGTACATTACCCTCATGTCGAGGGACTCAGTGCCATCCATTTATCCAGCATGGTAGTTATCGGTACATTTTCGCAGTTACATGCACATCCGCTCGAACGATCCCGTAACGGTTTGGACGTAAGGCAATATTAGTTTCGCTCTTTAACTCCCTACTGATGCCTGTGATGGTCATGCTCTGATCGGTTGTATGCCTGCGTTTGTCCGTAAGATTCCCATCGAGCCATCCAACTCATTAACTGATCCCAGTCCTGACATTCGTGCTCTGTGCCGAACCCTGTCACTCCACCCTCGGGAGTCAACGTCTCCACAGTCAAATCCGGACGGCACATGAGGGATTGTCGGAGAATATCGGTACAGTGGCTGAAATGGCGAGGTGCAATCATGTCATCCATGCTCTGTTCTAAGAGGGTTTCATCGGGCGAAGTGGCGACCGAGATTAGTGACCAATATGCCTGTCGCATTGAATTCTAGGACGAAGGCTTAGCAGACTCGGCCGTCCTGGAGAGAAGGAAGGGGGGGCATATTATTACCAAGCAATGCAATTGATGGAATATCGAGAAGGCCGCTCGTTCCGGGGAAATAATGGGATGGCGAAAGAATCCTGCTTGGACAGGAAACAACTCACCCCACGCCTTATCTGTCAATGGTGAAGGTCCATCCGCAAACGATGCATTGTATTCGAAAACTTTTCGCTGGGTATCCACTGTTTAACGTATGTATGAGCAAGAATTCGTTGGAGGGGGTGAAAGAATGGTAAAAAAGAAAAGAGAAGAGGAGATTGGGGTGGGGTAGCCGCACAGGGAATGATGACAGGTCTTCCGTCTTTGTTAGTCAAGTATCCCGCGTAGAATGCACACAGCCCATATACCATGAGAATCAAGCAAAAGAGCAGTTCATAGTAAATATTATGAGGCCAGTATAGGCCTCTCCTGGTCAGCCACTTTGGATGGGACACGGGGGATGGCGCGTCACTTAGGCGTTGGAAGCCTCCTCGAGCGGATTTGAGATTCGGCCACAGCATCAGTTATGAATTGCTCGGTCACCCTGTCAGTGATCAATCAAAGATTATCTAGTGAAGCATGGAATAGAGTACACATTGGGGAGTATTTGTTGGACTGCAGGAAACGTGGTTGATCAGATCCAGGGTCTGACAGGTAAGATCTGACAAGCTGACACGCGTGAGATAGCGTCAGATGCGGTCTAGGGTAAAAGAATAACAATCATCGAGCTCCATAGGCTTTGTTTTCGACTCCAAACGCAAAGCCTACAATGCAAGCGAGCCGCGGGTCTTACAAACCGCTGGTTGACGAGGAACTTCAAACTTCAGGAGATGCTCGCCCGAAAACATTGTCAAAGCAGTCATGGCTGATGCATGGAACACTGCTCCTGTTCTCTCTTTCCCTCTTCATACTCAGTCTCATGATTGCTCCTGCTCCAAGCCCATGTACTGAGATGGCATGGTGTATGTAAGTCTGCCCCTGAATTATTACTCGCAAGGATGGATACTTATATCTATGACATGCCACAGCTCCGGTGGTTGACGCAGTGGATGTGAAACCAACCCGATACAATGTCACCTTTGGGATTCCGAGCAGATACCCATCTCGATTCGTTGATACACCAGGAGCAGATGCCGTGGATGCCGAATGGGAACTATTTACTAAGAATCGTGAGTAGTTTAACTATGATAACCCCCGATCCGAACCTGGACTCTGAATTAATCTTGGTCAAGCTTTGCTCGACGGCCGTCAAGGAACGCTTGCTGTTGACCGTGATACAGTCAAAAGGCTTCCCCTTGCGTCGAACCCCGAATGGCTCAATTCACTCATCCCAGTCCGGGATGGCGATCAGGGGCAGATAAAATATATGGCCACTTTGGAGCTGTTTCACCATTTACACTGCTTGGTAAGCTTGTATTCTAGTAAGTCTAGGAGATTAGATCCCGTCCAGCCGGGCTGACACAAGTCCATATACACTAGAATATGTTACGCAAAGCGTCACATTCGAACTATTACAGCGAAGCCGACTTGAACAACCAAATGCTGAGAGGGCATCTAGGTGAGTGGCGGCCTGGCAATATCTCTTTGATGAACGGGCCATCTAATCTGACGCTGTCGGACCCAAGATCACTGCACGGAGACGCTACGCGAGGTCCTAATGTGCAATGCTGGGGTTGGACTAATCATGTTTCACTGGGTGGAGGGCCTCGATGACCCGTATCCAGACTATAACACATATCACCAGTGCCGAGACTACGATGCTGTCTTGGACTGGGCACTTAAAAACACGGTTCCCTTGAGGTCACCCGTGTCGAGGAAGCCGGAAGATTACGCCACAAATGAGCCTCTTTTCTAAACTACCATGTTGATTGATTTAGTCCTCTGTGTGTGTGTGTGTGTGTGTGTGTGTGTGTGTTTCAAATAATTGAAAATAGGTTATCGTGTTCATGAGGTAGCTTCCATAGCGAACTAAAATAATCAGTTGTGTCTTTCGTACTGTTTTGGGTCATGCCACTATTGCTTATCTCTAGAGGTTACTTATCTGACAACGGACCTAAAATCTGACAGGCGTCAACTAAGCACAGAATGGAGTATATCAGCTAAAGGCCTTACCCAGGTCTGGTTCCCTCCATCCGATCATCTGTGTCTCCAATGAATCACTCATGATGACTGCACCCGGATCTGAGCATTGGCTGGCTTCAACTGCCCCAACAGAAGGCAGCCTCGAGCATCTCCAACAGCAATATGCTGGATACTGCCATGCACTCATGTCAAGCCTGGCCGACGCAGATAAAGCCCAAGTAACCCTCTATGAATTCCTCGCAACAAATTCCGATACGTCGGAGTTTATCCAGCTCGTGGACCGGAGCCGGCGGATCAAGGAGTTGTTGCAGAACTCGGACTTCTCATCCACAGTCTGGGTCCCAAGCAACATTGCACTTCGACGACTGAGAAATGAGCTATCCGAAGAAGATATTCTGGCTCTCCTTCAAAGGCACATCTCCCCATGTTTTCTTCCAATTTCTTTCCTTCTAACAGCCCCAACCGTCGACACGTTATTTTATCCAGATCGATTGAATGGTACCCAGAGAATAACGGTCCGTCCCTCACTCAACGGCCTTTGCGTCAACTCCCACGCGACCGTTATTGAACAAGACCATCTCGTGGCAAACGGTCTGGTCCATCTAATGGACCAAGTTCTTTCGCCGCGGCCCACCATTGGAGCTTTCCTTGCTGCTCTGCCGCCATCCGATTTTGACCTGTTTCAGTCTGCAGTGAAGCAGTCTGAAGCCGTGCAAAATATTTTGGAGGATGAATCTCGCCGCGGCGGAACCATTTTCGTTCCCACCAACGAAGCCTTCCGCAAGCTGCCTGAGGATGTTCATACTTTCCTCTTCAGCGATGAAGGGGCTATATCTCTTCAAGCTCTGTTGAGATATCATGTCGTTTCCAATCAATCATTGTACTCAATCGTCTCTACGATCAGAACTCGGCGCCAGAGCATTTCATACAGATGCCAGAAGCTACACCTGATCATACGATTCCTACCACTGAGACACAGGCGGATCGCTTGTGGCGTGTACTCAAGGGAGTTCGTCGCTTTTCCTTGCCTATGTGCCTAGATGGGCAGCATCTAACGGTTGCTGTAACCCGATGTGGGGGCCTTATTTCAATGAAGGTGAATGGAATTGCGAGCGTGACTGTACAGGATGGTTTAGCTAGTGACGGAGTGTGTCATGTTGTGGATACGGTTTTATTCCCACCTCTAAAGACCGAAAATCCGGAAGAGGTTCAGCCCGTACTTTCAGTCGAAGATGTTAAATTGAGGTTGGGGTAGTTTGCTTGTCATTAGAGTTGTGTCAGATCTTGCTACCTATATATCTTTTGTTTCTGAAGTGTCCGAATTTAGTTCATTTGCGTTGATGCTTATTAACCTCGAAGGCTCACTGCCTTCTTCCTACGCTCATTTGCAACGATTAGCTCGTTGATATACTGTGCATGCCACTGGTATACTCTTCGGCAATTACTTGATAGTATTATCTATGTCTATAAGCTTCCATATAGAAAGTCTAGTTCTGAATTTCCACACCCCTCCTTATCAAGCAAAGTATCACTCTTAGCCCCATCACTCCGCAATCTCAACAACCAACTTTGTGCAACTCACTCCCCGACTCAACTCATTTAATCCATCATTAAGAGCCTGTAAGCCCCTCCCAACAACCCTCAGCTCCGGACTCGGTCTGATCTTCCCCTTAGCAATATTCTCCCTTGCCCACGTCCCCAACCAATACCGAAACTGATCCAACCTCTTCCCCTCATCATCCATCGATGGCACCACAAAGATGACTTCAACCCCATCCGCCCCCTTCACATCAGGGGGAATGACTGGCGCCGACGCAATCTTCCCCTTTACCTTTTCGTCACCATCAAACCCCACAAAAGCCCCCAGCACAGTCTGACACATCCGTACATCTCCCACCGCAAGAAAACAATACCGAACCACACTTCCATCCTTCCTAGCCGCCTCAACAATCTCGTCCACAACACTCGGGTCTCCGTAATTAAACACCCGATCCGCACCCAGTGACCGCACATACTCATGATTCGCCGTCCCAGCAGTAGCATACACAGCAGCAAACGAAGAACCAGGTTGATCCCGAAGCACTCGGGCAACTTGCACACCCATCGAGCCAACGCTAGATGATGCACCCCAGACCAATAACACCTCTCTCTTCTTCACGTTCTGACTCTTAGTCTCATCATTATTTTGAGTATCTCCCGCCCGCAACATAACCCCCACACTCTCCCACGCATTAAGCGCTACTTGAACAGCAACAGGCAACGTAGCCGCCTCGTTCCACGAGATCATCACACCCTCATCCGGAAGAGGCACAACATGCTGCCATGGGACTAGACATCGTTCCTGAAAAGCACCATAGTCCGGATCGCAGGCCTTCCAGACGGAGGCAGAGTAGGCGGCGACGCGGGTTATTCCTGGACGGAAATGGATGGGGACGTTGGTGCCGACTTCGAGAACTAGACCGGACAGGTCGAAGCCAAGAACTGTTGGATAGGAGGGGATGAAAAGGCCCGTGTCGCGCATGATGGTGTCTGCTGGGTTTAAAGCGATAGATTTGACGGCGATGAGGAGGTCGTTGGGGCCTGGGGTGGGGGTCGGGCGGGTAGTTAGAGTGAAGGGGGAGGATTTGGAGGGGAGAAGGGCGGCGAGATGGGTGGCCATTTTCTCCGATGTAGTAGTAGTGTATATAACTACTGTGGTGGTGAGGTAAGTGAGTCTTTTAATAGGTAGTAGTTGTAGTGTAGTGTGGATAGAAGGTTCTTGTGGGGTTTCAAGCGAAGCTCAAGTTATTCTCTCGGAGGGAAGTTGAGAGTAGTATTTCCAGGGGAAAGACATTGGGCAATACTCCCCTTTTTATATCAGAAAGTATGTATCATGGCACGTCAATCACCTCTTGATGTATACTCCTAGTTGATCCTGGTGGAGGCAAGTGGCAGCCAATCAGCGCTGTCTGCTTCCGAGGGCGGGTTTAGCGTTGAGATGCAACATCCGAGACTCGGTTAGCGTATGACTAAATGCAGTTATTGGGGGCCATGACTACCACTCATTCCGAACCCTTCCAGCTGGCGATTCCCTTCAGCCACAATGACATCGACTGACTCGGGTCCTGGCAAGTCACGGCGGAGATCGAGATTCGGGTGCCGCAATTGCAAGCTCCGGAAACTCAAGGTGGGTGCCCCTAGCACCTCGTAGATAAACCATCTCCACTGATTCATATTCAAGTAGTGCGACGAAAGCAAACCACAATGCAAGCGATGTAGTTCATTCGGAATAGTATGCAACTTCCTATCGACTACCACCCCGGACCTCCACCCCATTGCCGCTGACACGCGACGGTCATGGATGGTTCGAGGTGCAGCAGCAGCAGGACCGCAGCCCCCACTCACCAATGCCGTCTGGACATCAGACACATCGACCTTCTATCAACTAAATACCAGATGTCAAGACTTTATCACCCGGTACCTAGGACGCAGCCTCATCACCCCCGATGATCCAAACATGGGACATGTGAATCGCAAGCTCCTAGAACTGGCCTTTACCGTAAGTTGACCATTCCCTCATAAGCTCCAATCTTGGATACTGATCACCATATTGTAGCATCCCTACTTGATGCACGCCTCCCTAGCAGTATCACTTACCTACGACCGCCATCTGAACAGCCCACAAAAAAGCCACCGCACCCTAGAAGAATGCTACCACTGGTCACAAAGTACCATCCTTTTCAACAAGAAGCTCCGCCAACAAATAGACCCCAAAGACAGAGACCCAATCTGGGGTACTGCAGCCGCGTTGGTAATCCTAACCTTCTCATCCCCTAACGCACGCACTCCGGAAGAATCATGGCCTTTGAACCCCTCTCCTTCCTCCCATCTGGACTGGGTGCATATGAATAAGGGCAAAATGTCCTTGTGGGATATAGTCAACCCGCTGCGATCGGATAGTATCTTTCATGTCATGGCGGGGACGTTCGCCTATGTGCATTCGCCGTTGCCTGAAGGAGGTACAGAGGGTATACCGCCGGCTTTGGCGGCGCTGTGTGGTATCACGGAGGATTCTACGGCTAAAACGAACCCGTATTTCCATGCTGCTCATGCGGTAGCGCAGATCTTGGAGGTTGAGGATAGTGAAGTTACGATGGGCCCGGTGCAGATGTTTATGCGGTGTATCCATGGTGGGTTTGAGGGATTGCTGAGAGAGAGGGATCCTGTGGCGTTGGTGTTGCTGTATCTGTGGTATCGCAAAGCTGGGCGCTGTATCTGGTGGATTGGACTTAGGGCTCGAGTGGAATGTCCTGCTATTCGGTTGTATTTGCAGCGATATCATGAGGGAAATGGGGCAGTGTTGGGATTGCTTCCAGAGGGTGGTCTTGGGGATCAGTGGAATTAGTAGTCCCAGAGACACATGATAGACTAGAATTCTGTTGCTAGAGGAGAATTTTACGTCTTCTGCTTACAGATGCAATAAATCACATATATGTCCTAAACAAGCCAGTGTCTCATTCAGGTCGCCCTCCGTATTGTCCATATAAACCTACACAGCAACAGCTTGCCCTCACCCACCCGTCTCATCTCCTATATTCTCTCCAAAAACTTCTTCGCCCTTTCACTATCCAGATCCCTGCAAAGATAATAATATTCCAACCAAAACTCACGAGCGACACTATAATCAGGCATATACCGTCGCAACAACGTCTTCCATTCTCTATCCTCCTCACTATCAGGAACCGAAGTGCAGACATATTCCCACCACACAGGAAAATACCCAGCCGTCTCCCAATCAATAATCCCAGTAAGCTCACCATTTTCCACCATAATATTCACATTCGTCAGGTCACCATGCGTAAAAGTATAAGGCATGGCAGACGGCATGCACTGTCGAAGCCGTACTCTTGCAGCCTCTGGGATCTTCTCATTCAACCCACGCTCCATCTCAGCCCAAAGCTCGTCATCAGATGCAAAAGGACCGCGGGGAACCTCGTTTGATCCCTCGTTCTTGAACAAGAAGTTGGAAAACACTGGACGACCACCAAGACATTGGATTTTATCAGATTGCAGAGTCCGAAGTTGCTGGAGATACTCAGCGGTTTGTTTTGCAATTTTGTTCTTTTCGTCTATTGTCAGTTTGGACCAGACGTTGCTCAAGGGTTCACCGGGGATGCGCCGCATTAAGATGAGCGTGTGTTTGCCCTCTTCCCAGGATTCAATGACAGTGGGAACGGGAATAGAGGTTTGCTCCTGCACGAACTGGATATTTGGTACCTCGGAGGTTGGAAGGTTGGAACCTCGATCCTTTAGGATCACCTTTGAGCCGATTGACCAGACGCCTCGGTCGCCGGCTTCGTAGAATAATTTGAGGTAGCTTTCGTAGCTGCAGTATTTTTGGCGTTCAGGGGTCCAGCTGCATGCTGTGCAAGGGGTTGAGCTCATGGTGGATGGATGGGTAGTGATAAATGGTAATGGTTTGGCGGGAGATACTGCAAAGATTCAGATGGAAGGATATGCGTGGGCTCAGTTTCAGTACTGCAGGAACTTGGTAGTTATAAATAGACCTTATTCACCCTTAGCCTTGTAACCTAGCTAACCCTTCTCTGAAAGATAAAATGGAATGAATCGGTGGCCATGGAGTGCCAAGTATTCAAGTTCAGGTAGCTGCATCACGGAAAGCCGCGAATAACCTTAGATGGGAACGAGAAAAAGATATCCAGCATTGGAGAAATGGATTGTGTCTTACGTATGAGTGGTTGAGTAGCGTGCCACTCGAGCAGTGTTGACCATAGACGCGTCCAAGGGATGGGAGTTAGCCGCATAAAAAGACATTAGTGTAGACATAGCATTTCACAATGATTGCCGCACACGCTACATATTCTACTCTTATTAGTGGGCTTGCCTATGCGAAAGCAACATACCTATACTGCATTTCGTGAAATCCGGACTTCACCGGATTAGTGTAGCACTAGGACTGTTCTTCTACCATGTGGCTGTATTTACGGCGATATTATGGTGGGAATGGAGATATATTGGGGTTCTCCCAGGGGTGTTTAGGGGAATTTGATAGGTGGATTTAGTTGTGATGCTAATGGCGTAGTATGAGGGAATATGACACTAGTCAAGAGCAGTGCGCTGGAGTGACAATGATTGCTAGCGCCTAGTCTACTATTACCCAGATAAGAGAGTGGTGATAACAACAATTAACTGGGTATAACACACAGCCCTTTATATTAACGTATCACATCATCAAGCCACATGAAAGCTAACTTGAACCCGCGCACTAGCCCTTACAATCCAATCCCCAGCATCACTATCACTATCACCATGTCTCAATAAATCATCAACAATAGTATCTAAAATGACCAGTCATCCAAACTCCCCCTTCCACCTCCGCCCCGCCAAACCCTCCCCCACCGACCACGCCTTCATCCTGTCTGCCTTCGACTCTTCCCTCCCCCTCCTGGCCTCCATCGGCAGCCACGAACAATGGGGCTCAACGCCCTTCTCCCAACGAGGAGACTTCCCCCAAGAAACCCTTAAAGAACTTGACCAATCCGAAGAATATCGCCTAACTGGCAAGAGCAACATGGACGGTCTACGCATCTTCATTGTTGAAAGAAAATACCACCATGATGATAAGGAGCATACAGGGTCTCTTTCATCCCACCTGCGAGTTACGTCCGACGGTCAATGCTTCCTTCCAGTAGGGTTTGCCTATGTTCGCGAGAATTGGATTCCTAACTATGTGAAATCACAACATCACCTTCCGATGCCAATCATCCATAGTAGTACTGAAATTGGTGGGTTTCTCTATCTGGAGGTTATGGTTACGGATAGTCGCGTGGGTCGGCTCTGTCGCGGGGCCGGAGCGGCGCTTATTAGGGGCATGAGGGAGTATGGGCAAGGAAGAGGGATGAAGGCCCTATGGGTGGATGGATGGGCGGGAAATGAGAGAAAATTGATCAGGTTTGTTCTATTCTTATTCTCTCTTCTTCTTTTATTTTTTTAAGAGATTTGAAGTTGTTGGTGTTAACATATCTGTAATAGGTACTATGAACAGCAAGGGTTCCGAGCTGTCGGGGATTGGAGTCATACCAGGGCGAACAATGTGCCGTGGATGGGGACGTTGATGTGCATGGAGATCTAGCTGTAATTAAGATATTAAGATATTGGTCTCCTTGTTGCACTAACTACAATATCTTATCGGAACCAAGAATCACAACGAGTAATCAGCATTGATTGTCTTGATGTTAACCCCGCACAGCTGCATCTGGTTCCATCCCCGCCTCGCATCCACGGTCGGAAAGCTTGCAGGTCATGCGAGGGTGACCACGGATACTATCTACTTGTCTTTCCAAATGCGAGCCAATGCACAAGACGTGGCCCAAGCTTCCAGGCCAGCTTAGCACCGCCTTGCCCCTTTAGGGCAATGTTTCCATGGCCCAAGCAGCATCAGTGCATGAGAATCCGGGTGGAGACGGTTCCCTGGCCCGATCCCCGCCTTCCATCCGATCTGCTGGCCTGTCTTATCATTCCTGCACCTCAACGGTTGCGTTGCCCTTTTCGAGTATCCATCATCCATGATCGGCTCGGCCACGGAATCCTTGCCGGTGCTGGTCCGGCCAATCTGGCCGGCTGCTACGCTCACCAGCTGTCACTAATAGCTGGACCTTTCGCCAGGGACTGCTCACAATATGTAGGGCAGATTATCCTGTCAAATCAGCAGATGAACATCAATTCACAAAAAGACGAAAGATGGCAGCAACACAACGTGTGGTCATCATAGGAGCTGGAATAGTGGGCGCCAACCTCGCCGATGAACTGGTCACTAGGGGATGGCAGGACATCACCGTCGTCGAGCAGGGCCCGTTGAACCTGCCGGGCGGCTCAACCTCGCACGCTCCCGGGCTGGTCTTCCAAACCAACGGTTCGAAGACAATGACTCGTCTCGCACAATATACTGTTGACAAACTCCAATCGCTAAGTGATGAGAATGGCATGCCGTGTTTCAATTCGATAGGAGGTCTCGAGGTGGCCACGACGCCGGCCCGAGTCGAAGAGCTCAAGCGCAAGCTCGGCTATGCGATGTCCTGGGGTGTTGATGCGCGTCTTCTAACCAAGGAAGAGTGTCTGGAGAAGTATCCTCTTCTTAACAAGGATCTCGTGCTAGCTGGTCTCCACACTCCGACCGATGGTCTCGCGTTAGCTGCCAGCGCAACCCAGCTGCTTATCGCCCGGACCCAGCAGGCTGGGGTCCGCTACCGAGACTCGACGCTTGTTACAGGCATTGAACAAACAGGATCTCGTGTGACGGGCGTAAAAACCTCCCAGGGTATCATTCCTGCCGATATCGTCATTTCCTGCGCCGGCTTTTGGGGCGTCGAAATCGGAGCCATGGCTGGGGTCGCCATCCCTCTTCTACCACTTGCCCATCAGTATGCGAAGACGACCACCGTGCCCGCTCTAGCGAACCGCGACGTCAACCACCGTCCGAACGGAATGAATGCGAGTATGCCCATCTTGCGGCATCAGGATCAGGATCTATACTACCGGGAGCATGGAGATCAGGTGGGGATTGGATACTATGGACACCGTCCAATGCCGGTGGTGGCTGCGTCCTTGGGGCAGACTCCGGAACATGTTGATGAGAAGCACATGCCCTCTCGACTCGAGTTTACGGCCCAGGACTTTGCGCCCGCCTGGAAGGCCTCGCAGGAACTGCTACCTGTTCTCCGCGAGACCCAATTGGAGGACGGATTCAACGGCATCTTCTCGTTTACCCCAGACGGGGGGCCCCTCGTTGGACAAGCCTCTAATCTCGATGGTTTCTATGTAGCAGAAGCCGTCTGGGTCACCCACTCCGCCGGAGTCGCGCGAAGCATGGCGGAACTGCTCACAGACGGAGCATCCACCATCGATCTCACGGAGTGCGAACTATCTCGCTTCGAGGAAGTACAGCTGAGCCGGGACTACGTCAACGAGACCTCGCAACAGAACTTCGTAGAGATCTACGACATCCTCCATCCCCTTCAACCGAGAGAATCTCCCCGCCAGCTCCGAGTAAGCCCCTTCTACGAGAAGCAACGAGCACTGGGCGCCTTCTTCCTCGAACTCGGCGGCTGGGAGCGCCCATTCTGGTACGAAGCAAACGCACAGCTCCTCCACGCCCTCCCAGCACAATGGCAACCACCTCCCCGAGACACCTGGTCATCGCGATACACCTCCCCGATCACTGCCGTGGAAGCATGGAAGACCCGCAATGCCGTCGCCATGTACGACCTAACCTCCTTCCACCGCGTACAAGTATCCGGACCCGGCGCAGCCACCCTCCTGCAGCGCCTCACCACAAGCGACATCACCGCCCCTCCCGGCGCCATCACACACACCCTCCTCCTCAACAGACAGGGCAAAATCCGCAGCGACATCTTCGTCGCTCGTCTGGAACCCGACCTCTTCCAAATCGGCGCCAACACCGCAACCGACGTCGCCTACTTAGCCGTTGAAGCACGTCGCCAGAGACAACACACCCCGACCCAATGGGTCCAGGTATCTGACATCACCGGCAGCACTTGCTGCATCGGCCTCTGGGGCCCTCGCTCACGGGCCGTGATCCGCGCCGTTTCCAACGACGACTTCTCCACCACCGCTCTACCCTACATGTCCGTCAAACGTGCCACGATAGCCGGGATCCCCATTACCGCGCTCCGCAAATCCTACGTCGGTGAACTCGGCTGGGAAATCCAAACCAGTGCCGAATATGGTTCCCGTCTATGGGATGCGCTCTGGCAGGCTGGTAAACCGCACGGGCTTATCGCCGCGGGCCGTAGCGCTATGAACGCCCTGCGACTGGAGAAAGGGATTCGGACATACGGAGTGGATATGACAACGGAGCATGATCCGCTCGAAGCGGGAGTTTTTCATCTAGTTGATTTGGACAAGAAGGAGGAGTATGTGGGCAAGGCCGCGCTTCAGAGTGCTGCGCAGCGGAAGCAGCCTCCTTTGAGAAGGCTGCGGTGCTTGACTATTGATGATGGGCATTCTATGGTAATGGGCAAGGAGCCTGTATATTTTGGAGGGAGGCCCGTCGGGTATGTCACTACTGCGGTGTTTAGTTATACAACAAAGAGGCCCGCTGCGTATGCGTGGCTGCCCGGGAGAGTTCGTGAAGGGGATGCAGTTGTGATTGAGTATTTTGGGAGGCAAGTTAAGGCAACGGTGTCGGCGGATCCGTTGTTTGATCCACGGGGGAGCAAGTTGCATCGGGAGGATACGGGTGCAGATGGATTTGAGACGCCGTTGAAGAATCGCTTGTAGGGGCGTTGCTTGGATGCATTGAGGATGACATGAGATATGATGAACGATGTAATTGAAGAGCTATAGAGATTAGGGAGATCATCTGTATATATTCTGCTCATCTGCAGTAGATCCAACCACGACGATCAACAGACCCTTCTATTCCAAACCCAAACCACTGCGACTCCATAGTAGTACTGGTACTAGTTTGATGATCCCCTCCCTCCCATCAACTACATCGAAATTCCTGATGCCTTCCTTCACTCCCTCGCCCCCTAATTTTCTTCAAAAAAGCTCCCCCTCCCCGCATTCCATCAACTCCGACTCCTTCACACGAGCATGCAAGGTGTCACTTACCACCATCACTGCAGATCATATCTGCCTGCATGTCTCCACAGCCTCCAATCCCAGTATTGATTCATTGTAACCGTTACTATGTACATACAGGCATGTTTATAGACATACTAGTGCTCTCGCAGAAGCTTGATTCATACATCATATGACGTTAAAAGTAACGCTGCCATCCTTCGCCTGTTCCTTACCATGCACTATCCTCATTGAAGGCAGAGCAAACTTGGAGTAGTATGAGCAGGTCCTGACGGCCGCCGTTGTGATTGGTATCTTGCTATGAAGCGCTAATCTTCATTGGGACGAGAAGTCTCCAAGAGTGCACAATGTGGTGTATCTCCAACATACAGTCTCCTTCTTCAAATATAGGATATTCACTCCCCGGATTACACCCGTGACCGTTCACCATTCCATCCGCAGCTTTGCATCAGTTGAGTTCTGCTCAACACGATGGCCCAACCACCACAACCGCCGTTCCGAGCCCTGAACGAGTGCTACCCAAGGAAGCATATTATACTAAAAAAACAATGAAAGGATCAATCAATGATGCAAAAATGAAAAACATACAACAGAAGGGATTCGCTGGTGGTCACCCACCCAACTACTAACCTCCCGGCGTGTGGCTTAAGTACGGCTGAGCGGACGGGAAGCCCTGTTTTCCACACCCTGTGGTCGTATGTGTTTGTATACTCTTTTGAGTTATTCTTAAAGTGTTCCAGTCTGAGAGTAATCTACTCGACACTACCTGGCCCGCAGGCATGAGGTGTGGCGTCGGATAGTACGGAGCAGAAGACAAGCCATCTCTCAAAATATCAAACCGGGTATGGCATACATGCATTGTTCAAGGCGAGGTGTGTGCATGCAGAAGAATGAAGGTTGATGTTTCCCGTTCTCGATGGGTTGAACCTACAGGGTAGGTAGGATAGTTCAGCTACGCCACCAGCGATTGATATATGCCGTGCCTATGCATATAGACTGAGCTGTAACGTATCGGAAACTAGGCTACCCCCAGCGGTGAATAAAAATGTAGGGTATGATACTCATATATGTATGTGTCTCTGTCTAGGGCTCCTTGCTGATCCGGGATCGGCCTTAGGGCTGATCCCAACCAAGCATGGCATATCATCGTGTGTTGGTCACCGCCGGGGGTTGGCCTCATTCTCTTTTTCTAGGTCTCCTTTTGTGACAGTTACATTTTTCCTATCTGTTATGAAAAAAGGTGCTTTATTCACCATAAAATATGTGGATTGATAGTCATTTCGTGGAGTGCTGCTAGTTCTGATATAATAAGAACTCAAGTAGACACACAGAGAGGAGCAAAACGAGTGGAACCCGCTTCTGGCCGGCCGAGCTTAAACTCCATTAACAATAGAGAACCCCATACAACGACCGAAGCTATCAAAATTGCACTTATCCATCCCTTGGTACCTCGTCTTTCCTGTAAAGCCGCGCTTTTTAACAGCAGAGCTAGCGTTGCCAGCTACATTAGCATGATGCTGGTAGTGACGACCCCTGGTTATTCGTGATGAAGAAGGAAACTTACCACAAACACTCCATTGACTGGGCATCCAATGAAACAGGGAGTTGTGTTGCAGCATACTTCCGCATCAGTAGCAGCCTCGATACTGTTTGTAACATCGGCTGCGTTGACACTGTCCGCAGCATTGGCAGCACTGGCAGCATCCGCAACGTCGGCCGCGTTTGCAGCAGATTCTTCTCTCTGACGCACAACTCCCGCCAGGCCGAATCCAGCGAGGATGGGCACAAGGACCATGGAGAACTTCATGATGGACAGGGATATGATTCACGGGAAGTGACTGAGGGATAGACGAACGAACAAGAAGATGGTTGAGTAACAAAGAAGTTAATGGTGGATGGAGAGGATGTGTTTGATTGTGTTGTGTAGACTAGCAATAGCCGGGGTGATGTAGCCTTTTTATGTCTGAAGGCGAGGAAAGGATTACTTGGGATAAAATAAGAAGAGATATTTCTGACTCTTCTGAGCACTTTCCTTCAACATGCAAGGAAATTCATTGACCACTCAAGTCGTGTGACTCGTTCTTACTCTCTCTCCCTCTCTCAATTGAACTAGGTAGTGGTGAGAGACACCCTGATCCTATAGGCTTCACCAGATCAAATCGGTTTTTGAGATAACGCACTTGTTTAGGTAAATGTAGATTCATAGGGATGTGGTTCACAGCATGTTGGAAGCATCAAGTACTGCCAGTAGTGACACAGCATGTCTCTCGTTTGAGAATGACCTAGCCTGAAATTGGAAGCAGACGCTCAGACAAATCAATGTATTTGCGAGCCATGATATACTGAACATACCCTAGGCAGAGTATACCAGCCTGTTCTTCGCAAAAGGATTTATTCTCAATCATGGTAACATCATAGTTCCGGTGATAGAAGCAAATAAATTCAACTATATGCTACATGTTAGTTGATATAGCCTGTCTCTTCAATTGAGATGATTAGGACTGGTCTTTATCGGGGCTCCACCTACTCGTCGCTACGGCCACCACCCAACCCTTATCTATCATTCTTGTTCAGCATTTCCCCGCCTTATGCAAGGCTTGCGCAAGCCACCATTTGACTTGTCTGTGCTAAAGTACTATGTACTATGAACATTATGGGATAACACTGACACCACTCTCATCATTGATCAGCATGATCATTAAGCCATTTCGCTACCTCTTGAAGAATTCTGTATCATATAATTATCCCTACTGTCCTTAGAAGTTTCGTGCCATCATAATTATCTTTAAGTTCACCTTTGCGCCATCCACCGTAGGGGAGGCACTCCCCATGTGTCTCCTCCCTTCCTTACCCCGTGGGGCCTTTCACTGGGGCTCAGGCATAGTCAGGCATGATATCATCACCCTTGTCATGCACCATGCAGGATGCTGTGATATCTCTAGAGCTCTCGTACCTAGAAAGTCAAACTTTTTTATGCTTCCAGAATTTTACATTGTTATACTACCTTCATATTATGGGTATATCAGCGGCTGATACCAAGACACAAAATGTATCTTCATGCATAGTTTGCTCAGTTAGGCCAAAATCTGGATATCTCTAGGTGAAAGGATCGACATAGCCGTTTGTTTGCCAGTGTTTCAAGGCACCGCCCCTTCCCCTGCTTCGTCAAATCCGAGCTTTGCACACACACATATAGTCTCAATTAGCATCAGACATTCAAAGGCCATCTTGAGATGCGCTTTCATGAATGAGGAACCCCCGTACCTTACTTGAAGATTGTTTGAAAAGAGAGAGTAAAGAGACACAAAAGAAGCAATGGGTTTCTTCCTCAATGAAGAATAACAGAGGCTCATACAACCTCCATTCGACTGAATGACGAATGAGATGAAGCCAACAAAGACTCAGGGGTCTTGCAAGTTTTCTCCCCGGGCTATGCTTAACCTAACTCTTAGTTATCGAATGGATTGCTCTCCTGCTCTACTTTGCGATCGTGATCAGCACGCAGAGTGAGCGCAAGGAGGATAACTGCAAGTTCAGTCATATGTGACTCTTTGAGAGTATTGTAGGGGCCAAATTCGTGCATCGTCAGAAATGATCGAGGGCGTTCTGGATCTTGTAAACCATGCACAATGTATCTGATGTACTCATCGTCATATTCGGCAAAGCTTAGCCAAATTTGATGTCTATCTTGCGAGACATGAAAACGCCTGGGATTCCGAGTCAATTTGAAAGCACAATAAAACATTCTGAACGGCCTGCTTACCGAAACGGAAACTTTCCTGGTGATTGGGGATAATTCTTAAGCCAAGCGACCATCTGGGCACCCTCCTGCATACGGATCTCAAGCCGGGAATGTTCCCGGAGGGCTGCTTTCACTTCGATCAACGCACGAACCTCCCCATCGACTTTTCCTCGAAGATATCCGTCCGTCCTTGCCTCATACTCTGCATCGTTGAACTTGGCTTTGAGCGGCTTCCGGTGGATGGTCCAGGAGCTTCCAAGCGAAGGGAAATAGTCCGTGAGAGCTTGAAGAAAGCTCACAAGAGCAACATTCACAATTTGTTCATCATCGACTGGGGGGTACATTTCGCGTAGGAGCTCCTCGGGCCCCAGAGAGCCTCCCGTGGAAATGGACGCCGGTTCGGGGAAGTCATCGTCGTTACCCTCGGTTCCTGGGGTTACTGGTCCTGTTGCGGTAGTTTCATCAAAGATACTGAGCTGCTCAAGCGAAGGTAGGTTCGATCTAGTTGGTGTCGAGTTGGGCTTTTCGCGTCGTTCGCGGGTGCTTTGGCGCGTGTGCTTCGAAACCGGGGAGAACATGACATTGTTGGAAATTTCGTTGCTTTTGACCTTTGCTGCCTCAATCTGTGAATACTTAACTAAGAAGAAGTTCCCCTCCTCAAGCTTGCCCCTAAAGCTCTCGCGATAGATGTTCCAGGAGGGATAAGACTGCAGCATCTCCTTAGCCTGGCTCATCCACGGTTCTAGGCCAAGCCGCCGGGGATTCAGCTTAGACCTGTGCGAATCCTTGCGAAGAACACGCAGAAGCAAATACTGGCGCAATTTGATCTTCGAAGCACTTGACAATGTTTCTTTGTGGATGTGTGTGTTGAGAACACCCTCCTTCTCTGCCAACTCGGCCCACTTAGTGGCTGTTGCGGGGACATCTCCGGGCAGCTTATTCATGACTTTCAATACAGCTCCGAAGCACTGTGGGTCGTTTTCTTAAGAAAAATATAGTAATGAATGCTGAGATAGCTGCCGCCCCGTTTGCTCCGAGTAGCTAGCGATATATCGTATTTAGCCTACTTGGCCAATACGCTGTGCTAACAATGGACTCACGTAAGAGGCAATCTGCAGAAGACTGAGTAGAGTAGTGGATCATATGAACTATGCCAATGACTACAATTTAAAGGAGAGTAGCGTTGGTCAGGAGAGGAAGTAGTGGAGGGATGAGGAGAAGTAAGGCGCCTACGGGGCCTGCTAGTCCATGAGAGTTGCTATTCAAAGAGAAGCCAAACAAGGCTGGCGGCTTTGACTACTACTAGCTGTGGTGTTGGCCAGTGAAGGTCCTGCGGGATCTAGTGAAGGTGGAAGGGCGTCAGTCAATCATTATGGGATGGATACCCGCCCGTGAATAGATTGGAATGCATCACGAAGAGGGGAAGAAGCTGTCCGTGCGTCTCTGTTGGGGTCTGGATAAGAAGTCTGGAACCCCCCATCTAATTATCGCGGGCGGTAAAAACGGGGCGGTTGCCCCGGAACCGCTCTTTATCTAATCGGCATCCCTCTCCTCCTTCCCTCTTTCCACCCTCCAACTGCCCCCTTCTTTCTAAACGTCCCCCACCACCTCACCTACCATTGATTTATTCGCACTTGGGTATTCTTTACTGCCCCCCCTGAAATGTCGGAAAGTAAAGAACATCAAGCTCGGCGGCATGCTATCAAGGCCGTCGCGCAAACCATCTCGAATCGTCCGGAAAATCGATACCAGCACAAAGACTTGGATCACCTCCCCATTCAGATCCTCCCCATGCCCCTGTCCGCCGAGGGGGACCCATTATTCGACTCTGAATATTTCTGGCCCTACCAAAAGTCCCTCCCGAACCCTGATGAGGAGATAGAATTTTCGCCCTCCAGCCCGAAGGAAGCCTTGGATCCGATGGACGAGGCACACATCCTGAGCTACTATTTCGGGCATTATATCACCGATGCCACACTTATCCACAAGGTTGATTGGCAACATAATCCTAGACAGTATGGTCGATTCCTGTCCACGGCACAGAACCAATCTTACGACGTACAAATGACTGATTTGTCTCCAGGCCCATTGAGTTTCCATGTTCCCTCTGCGAGCTTGATATTGAGAACCCCTTCGACTGGTGCGTGGGTGGTATAACCGGTATTCCGGGTGGGCCTCGGATGAAATGCTATCTACTCGAGAGTGTGAACGCGGACGATGAGCAGATCACCCGTGGGGAGATCCTATGTATGTGTCAAATCATGATTACTTGCCTCCGTTCCAAAAAGTATCGTGCCCATCAAGTCAGTCCGGTGAGTGATGTCATGTCTTCTTTCTGTCTCATTCGAACTCCTGTGGCTAACTCACCCAAAAGGTGCTACTCATTTCCTTCGTGGGTCCAAGACATGCTCGCATTCTCCTGGGCCATCATGATGGCACCAACCTGGTGATCCGTCAATCGAAACGCTTTGCATTCTGGGAACAGAACATCCCCGACTGGAAGATCTTGCTTCGATGGTGGTGCTCGTCTGCGGTCGGGGATACCATTAACGGGTAGCGGAGGCTTAGTACTCCCGTGATCCTTCTCTCATCGAAGTTGTTATCTCTGTTTTATATTAGTTCACGCATGATCTGGTCGGTGTTTATTGGTCTGGTTTGGTTATACCCAAGGAATGTGGCGGGTTTGTGGCGTTTAATGGATAGGAAGAATTTTTGGTCGTCTTTCGAATACAATAAGGACAACGTACATCTTATGTCTCTCACGATGGATTGGAGTTGGGGAGTACTGGGAAGGCCATGGCTTTAGAAGATAGTCCCTTTATTATCTGTCAATAGTGTTGTGTTAACACTATCATCTTACTTCTTCTAAATACAACAATCTAGCTTATCTAATCCAGACGCTTCAAAATTACCTTGATAGCCTGAGCCTAAAAGAGTGGCCGTTCTCCCACTCCAATTGCAACTTAACCGAAGACATGATGATGTTCCAGAAATGAGAACAGAGCGACTTAATTATATCTTCTCAGTGCGCGAGCATCGGCGAGAGTAGGAGCGGGGATGGGGATTTGGAACTCCCAACAAGATCATCTGCGGTCTAATGATAATCAATGATGACAGACTGGAACATTCTACGGTTACTTGCATCCCTTAACTGCGTAGTACGTTGGGTGTTCGCATTCACTCTTATGGTGGGGTTGGTGGGGTCGTTGGTAAGGGCCTGAGAGAGACAGAAAGGACTAAACAGTGAGTTGGAAGCTACTAGGAGTAACAATCGCCGTATACTAGATCTAATATCGCAGTGGTATCCTACTCCTACTTTAGCCCTAGCATGAGAAGTCGCGACACACGAGAACGAGGAAGTTCTTTCCTCATGGGTGTCTATCAAGGGAGTGGGGCTTCTGCCCCGTGCACAAACAAGCAATGTCACCGAGCGACTTTGACAGGAAATCTGATGCTCCGATCCATAGTGCCTTACTGCTGAACATGCCAGGGGTTTCTTTAGATGCGATGCTGCCAGCCCACCTCACCCCAGTACCCACTTATCAGTTCCGCGGGGCATTTCCATAGGACCTGATAGGCCGACTGGCAAACCTCATGTTCAAAGTAAATCCGGGCCGATGATCCTCTCCCAAACGAAAAGCTTCATTCATCCATGCCGTTTTCCAACTTCCACCGCTTCTTCTTTCCCTCTCCCGTCGTTACAATTACAGTATACGGGATATACCACGCATCTCAAGGGGGAAAAAAAAGAATATAACATTGGAGAATCAAGAGACACCAGGAAAGAAGAGAATAAAAGAAAAAGAAAAGAGAAAGAAAACTCAATGGACATCCCACACCTCACTGAAACACCAACCCCCTTCCCAAACTGCTGTTTATCCATCTCCAGCACCCTAATAGCCCACCTAGCATGGCTCCTCCCTAAAATGCCCGCATTCACCCTGTCAATAGGATGTGGATCCGGTCTCCTGGAAGCCCTAATACTGCATAACCATCCTAACCTCCAAATCACCGGAATAGAAGTCTCCGCGTCAGTCAACCGCTACCTTGCAGAAGAGAACTTCGACGTGGTCAGCGGAACTTGGGATCTGTATGCGCGTGCGCCGCAGGCGGCTGCATGGATGTTTGTTTACCCGCGTGAACCGAAGCTGGTTAGCAAGTATATTGAAATGTACGCTGATGATGAGAATGGATCTGAGTCATCGGTGCAGATGATAGTTTGGTTGGGGCCGCGGGCGGATTGGGCCGATTATGAGCCATGCTTTCGCAATTCGTCGTTCTCAGACGTGTCTATCCCTGATGAGGTGGGGATGATGGAGTTTGAGATGCTGGCTATTATGCGGAAGAGGTAGCGGTGTGTTTGAGACTATCGCAGCAAATCTATCAATTTGGTCATCGGACGGACAGTGGGAGGGATATCTCTGGCCCCTAGCAGCGGGTAGATACTAGGATGGATGCTACTAGTGGCTTCGCTGATGTTTACGACTAAGTACTAGTACTACCTAATGCCAATTTAGGCTGACCGGTCGGTCGTTAAACTATCTAATTGAGCATGCTAAGTCATAATATAAATAATCAGTGACATAAGAGAAGGCTTAAATCTCCCTTGAAACTAGAGCATGGCCTCTTGGGCAACCCGCTACAGGGTATACCATTTTGGGCAGGTATCTTCCACTTATTCTAGACTGGATTCTTTAGAATTCGTAGTAATCGATGTACTGGAACTGACTCTATCCTTTCTGCAAGGCTTCTTGCTGGCCACCATGATTGGAAGTTGGGGTCTGCTACTCATACTGCGTCCAACATTGCTCATTGCTAGAATCCAGACACGACACTCCCCTTCCCCTGTCATGCATACTGCCGGATTTCCACGTCACTCTGTATCCGGTGCTACAAAGACGGGTGGTGGCTTGCGTGCACCTTACATTACGTGTAGCGAGAGCTATGCATAAATGATAGCTGGTAGCCAATTGAGAACGTAGGATACATCTCTTACCAAACAATTGCATACAGAGACTTGCATGTCTAAGCATCCAAGCAGACAAGCCCGTTCCATCCCTTGAGTATAATCCCAGGAGCATTGGATTGCGTAAATCAACGGAGATCTTCCCGCGGGGTTACAAAGGCAATATATTGGCTTGAGCGCTGGCAGTTGATGGTATCGCATCACATCACGTCATTAAAAAAAAAAATCGGTATGCTTGTGTAACCTTACCCCCTGCTTTTACTTCAGCAGATAATGATCAGCAAATTCCCTTAGATGTATTCCTGTCTTGATGCCTAAAGTAGCTACACCATAGACTTGCACCCGTAAAAACGCTACCACTCGTTACTTGATAACCTATCTAGAAGAGACAGAGGGGGGACCCGTCACACTAACATGGTGATCAATACCAGCCTTGCGTAGCCCAGCGAGGATCTGCAAACTACAGGAGGTCCATTAACTACAGATTACATACTACTACCTCACCATTGTCATGGGTTATAAAAAGGCTCAACTGTCCCGAGGGTAAAGAGAGCATTCACCAAGCTCAACTCGCCATCTTATCATCTCTCATTCTACTACATCACTTTACTCCTTCTCCAACAGTCATCCACATCTTCTAGCTCCCATACCGCCAATATGAAGGTTTCCATTGCCCTTGTGCCCCTCCTCGCCGGGCTCGGACTGGCAGGGCCCATGCACAAGAGAGAAGAGCATTTTACCGGTGGCACAGACGCTGCGAACAGCATCAATGGCGCCAAGAGCATCGGCAGCATTGATGCTGCGGATAGCATCGACAGCATCAACAGCATCAATGGCAGGAGTATCGAGAGTATCGACAGCATAAATGGTGCCCACAGTATCGATGCTGCAGATAGCATTGACAGCATTGACAGCATTGAGGCCGCCAACGCCGCCAACGCTGCTAATAGTATCAATGCTGCGGATAGTATTGATGCTGCGGATAGCATCGACAGCATTGACAGCATTGAGGCCGCCAACGCCGCCAACGCTGCTAATAGTATCAATGCTGCGGGTAGTATCAATGCTGCAGATAGCATCGACAGCATTGACAGCATCGAGGCCGCCAACGCCGCCAACGCCGCCAATAGTATCAACGCTGCCAATAGTATCAACGCTGCCAACGCCAACTAGAAGGGTGGATGAAACAACATCCCTATTTCGAATCATAGCCAGCCAATCTTATTCACCCAGTAAGTTATACATTCTAGATCACATCATGATCCCCAAGTTCTAGGCAGCAGCATGCTAACAATGATATATGGCGGCAAAAGATGGACACTATGTGGCTACACCCGATTCGCAGCTCCTAGAAGGCGCTAGGGGATGATCGATCAATTCAAGTAAACGACTTTGCTCGTTTTACGGAGCAACGAGCTTTACACTCCGCTGATCCAAACCAGTTCCTCTCGTTACAATGACATGATGATTTTTTTGGAATTTAAGTAGCCATTTACCAGGTCTAATATGCAGTAGTTAATGGAGATGAGCTACATTTATTATAATTGCCAGCAATTTTTCCTACTTCAGTAGAGGACTAAGCCGTTCATTGAGCCCTGGTAATGAATATCATATATCACCAACTGGTGTATCCCCGAGTCCAGCTATCTTCAAGCATAAAAAGGGTCTAAGACCAAGCAACGATATCGAGGCCCTCCACTCGGACTAACTCTTGCAGACCATCTTCAGTTACCACACGGAATAATCATCATTTTGTGCACGCCGCTAGAAAATCTATATAAAAATACCAAAAGTAGGCTGGCATGACTTCAATGGCTTGTCAAAGCTGCAATTATAAGCGCCTCTCGCTTCTGAGCCGTCGAGAGCACACCATTCCGTGTCCCTCTCTTCCACATCCTCGCCTTCCTTGAGCCCATGATCCAAAGCAAAAGTCCCAGCCCTCTAGGCCAGCACCCGTCCCGACCTCTGGCCGTCCAAGTCCGAAGCTGAAAAGCACATCCAGAGTAACCGTTTCTGGCAAAATATGAGATTCTCGTGCAGTCACAAAATACATCAAATAGTCTCCGGCCTGTCCCAACGGCTCTATACTCAATGCACTCCTCGTCCTCCGAAGGAGGGCCGTGATATGCTGTGCCAAGAACACTTGTATCTGTGCTTGTAGGTCATAGTAATGCGGTTCCGAGTACAACACCAAATATCGAATTTATCACAATATTCACAGTAGTCTTAGTAAGAGAAAGCCAAGACCTGACGCTAAAGAGCTATATACCATATGATGAATAGCAGTATCCTACTATATTACGGAAAGCCATACCCGCCAGGTGCGCATATGTGGTCAGTGCTCATCACGTGCATCCCCGCGGATGGGGCTAAACTAGCGGGAATCCTCCGATCACGGCGTCCGTTAAGCGGATGTTTTTCTCCAGCCAGCAGGAACTCTCTTTCTTGCATCCCCTTTTGCACGGTATTCACAATGGCTGCTGCTGCTAGGACGCTTCGCATAGGTCAATTGCTCCTCTCCATCTCTTAACGTTCTTCTCCTGCCCGTCTAGTTGCTGACATCTTCTCTCGTGCAGGTCTCATCCCCGGTGACGGCATCGGCCGAGAGGTCATTCCGGTGAGTCACCACCAGCAAATAGCTTCCTGTCGAAACACCAATTCTAACGAAACGCTCTTCATCAGGCCGGCCGGAAGGTTTTGGAGTCTCTCCCCTCCTCTCTGAACCTCAAGTTCAGCTTCGTCGATCTCGATGCGGGCTTCGATACCTTCAAGCGCACCGGTAGCGCTCTCCCCGATAAGACGGTCGAGATCCTCAAGAAGGAGTGCGATGGTGCTCTGTTCGGCGCTGTCAGGTGAGTGCTACATTGATATCTCCTGTGCTTGTTTATCACTGAATTCCCCCCTAACTAATCTCTCTGTAGCTCCCCTAGCACCAAGGTCGCCGGCTACTCCTCTCCCATCGTCGCCCTCCGTAAGAAGCTTGACCTGTACGCCAACGTGCGCCCCGTCAAGACCACCGCCGGCAGCACCGACGGCAAGCCCATTGACCTGGTGATTGTGCGTGAGAACACCGAGGATCTCTACGTCAAGGAGGAGCAGACCAAGGAGACCCCCAATGGCAAGGTTGCCGAGGCTATCAAGCGTATCTCCGAGAACGCTTCCTCCCGCATCTCCACCATTGCCGGTGAAATCGCCCTCCGTCGCCAAAAGATCCGCAGCGTTGCTGGTATCGCTGGTCTCCGCACCGAACCCATGGTGACCATCACCCACAAGTCCAACGTTCTCTCTCAGACCGACGGTCTCTTCCGTGAGACCGCCCGTAAGGCCCTTTCCGCCGACCGCTTCTCCTCTGTCCAGGTTGAGGAGCAGATCGTCGACTCCATGGTTTACAAGCTCTTCCGTCAGCCCGAATACTACGACGTTATTGTCGCCCCCAACTTGTACGGTGATATCCTGTCGGATGGTGCTGCTGCCCTGGTTGGTAGTCTGGGACTGGTTCCTAGCGCTAACGTTGGTGATGGCTTCGCTATCGGTGAGCCCTGCCACGGCAGTGCCCCCGACATTGAGGGCAAGGGTATTGCCAACCCCATCGCCACTCTGCGCAGTGTTGCCCTGATGCTGGAGTTCTTGGGTGAGGAGACTGCCGCTGCCAAGATCTACACTGCTGTTGATGCCAACCTTGATGAGGCCAAGTTCCTTTCTCCTGACATGGGCGGTAAGGCTACTACCCAGGAGGTTTTGGATGATGTCCTGAAGAGGCTGTAAAGGGTTGTTAAAAATGACTCTTGATGTACAAATAGCGAGATAAAAGAATCAAGCTTTTAGAGCGAATGTGATGTCAATTTTGTTTACAACATTGAAGGGCCTTGCAATAGTGGATGACTAGAATTCCTTATCACTGGAATAAATATCATCCTACCTTACTAAGATTGAGAGGTCGACCGGAGATTGTACCAGGTAAGATGGTAAGAGGGGTAATTCCATTGCTTATATTTTTGTGGTCCCGTGAGCAGGAGTAATTCAATAAAAGGCAGTCTAGATTCGCGATGGCACGTGCCGACTATATCCAGGTGTTCCGAAAACATGAGGCGCAGCAAGAAGAACCAAGGTGGACAAATACCAAAGCGACACATCCTTGTCTGGCTCACCATGCTTCTCGTTGATCGCAGATGCAGTGACACGTATTTGGCCATCTGTCTGAAGGATTCTGACAGATCGCTCATTGCCATTATAGTCGATGGAGTACTCCGTGGGTAGATCGCTACAGACTACTAAAGTAATCGGGGGAATTATGTACCTACTAACTAGTTACTCTGGACTCTGCACTCCTACTAAAGATGCGCCCAGCTTCAGCCCTGAGTATCGCAGTCCCAATCGGGTATCGGGTGATGCGGCTCGTCTCGTCAGCTGAACTCCTGAACAGACGGACGGTTCTTTGCTTTTTAGTCTCCCTCCTGGTTTGTTTCACCCCGGCTCATCCTCGTGCCTCGTGCTGAACATATCCCAGCCTCACGCTTGTGGATGTGGGTCGGCGGAGATCGAACATCAAGTCAGTTGTTCCTGGCAGCGTTTTCCCACCAGATCTACTGCTAAGACCGATCTAAAGTAACTAATTAAATCGGTCGGTTGGTTCCTATCATGCGGCCAGTTACCGCCAGGGCCCCATGACCATATACCCACCGAGAATTCGATCCATAATCATACGCTAGGGAGATACCGAGTTTGAGAAAAAGAAAATTCCACCACATGGAAAGCAGTTACCTACCGAGGAGCAGCTAAGAACTGCACGGAAGCCTCCAAGACATTAAACAACTGTCCCAGTCAGGGAGGAACTCTCCTAGCGTGGGTGAGGCGGTGCACGGGCGGCACCGTATAAGAGTGGAGGACATCCTGCGAGGGAGACGGCAGGACCTACTATTTGATTGGGGCGCGTTCCACTCCCATCCACAATGCCAACACGAACGTCACCTCAGCAAACTGTGCGGCCTCCCCGCAATAATAGAACCTCACAATTTTCATCGCCATTACCATTCCTAGCGCGCCTCCTCGTCAGGCTTCGCAACCTTTGCAGCACAAATATGGCATCCTATACGCTGAAACAAGTCATCGACAAGGAAAGATTTGGTTCAGTTAGTGACGAACAGCTTGTTGAGCTTGTATATCATCAGTTTAAACCTGTCATCGAAAGACTCAAGAATGTGGAACAAAACATCGAGGGGGACGATGCGCATCCCCAAGGCTTACTAACCCGGACAGGCGTGGAGGGGAAATCAGATGAAGATAATCTCACCCCCTCCCGATATCTTTTCAACGAAGATTACTCAGAGGTGAATCGAACCTTGACTAATGTTCTTGCGGTGCGATGGCTGCTCGACAATGATTACAGCACCTTCACCTGCCATCAGAAGGAACCTATAAGGTTAAAGAGCCCAACATTCAATGACTTCCGCGAATTGGCGAACCATATTCGAAAAGAGCCGGATTGGCTGATGGCCCTGATTGTAGCTCTGGTTCTGGGTGACGTGGGTAAAGACCATGGGCTAGCTAAAGAGGTGCGAGCCCGACTCAAGACCACACCAGAGGACATGAACCATGATACAGTCCTTGAAAAGGCCCTTGAATTGAGAATAATTGATACTCCGTTGGATCTGCTGCCGGCTCCTCGACGAGATGATGTACTTCGAGGAGTGAGGCTGGGAGCCAAGCTCAATATCCCGCAGCTGGCCCAAGGTGAGAACGTTCCAGGAAGCCTGCAATGTCTTCAAGATCTTCGAGGCCAGGAAAGTGCCTTTGAGTTGAAGTATCTTGAGATCATGTTCGATGTGGCTGGTGCAGGGGCGCATGTTGATGCCTGTGGTTCAGTGCGGATGATTGAGCCGGTCTGTCAATCATTTCTACTTACTTACAAGATTCTGAAGCGCGTCATCTCAAGAAAGATCACTATTCAGGAAGCGTACAATCAAGTCCTGCAAAACCGAGGCCGTATCTTATCCGAAAAGGGTTATCCAAAGTTATCCACAGATGACAAGCAAGAGCGGGCCCTCTTGCGTCTGTATGCAATGGGCAGGGTAGCAGATATCGACTTGGCAGAGCGCTTCCGCAAGGCCCTTCTCGGACTCCCTGATGATCATAGAGCTGAACTTATCAAAGAGCTTAATCAGAGCGGTCTGGAAGATGAACAAGCTGTAATTCTTTATTACATGCCTGCATTGTTTGCGGAGTTACTCCGTCACACCCAGCAGGCTTCCGAGGAAACGCAAGTAAAAGCGCTGACGTCGCTAATGGGCTTTATGAGACGCACATATATCGGAGCGAAGAATGCTCCCGGTGAAATGAACCTTATTATTGAGTGTGACGTGTCTGGAGCAAAAAGCAAGATTCAGGCACCGGGATTCCCGGAAGATCTTACTGGCTTGGATGAATATACTCTTCCGTCGTTGGGTTCTAAAGATCCTCAATTTTGGTAGCCTAGCGGAAAGAAATCGACTTTTATAAAGCATCTTTGTTCTTTCTCGGGCTGTTGTCGAGGTCAGACAACAATTGGAGCAGCTTTCTGTCCACTCTATGTCACATCACGACTTGATGCTATTTTTGGTCTGCTTGCCTCTTCGCTCCGGTTTGCCATTTTATGCGAATGTTCTTTTTTCCTTTCTGGTTGGGAAAGGCCGATACCTTTACGATTGATACGACATTCATGACACTACGAATGGCGAGAACTTTGCTTTTCATTGTAAGGATCTCAGAGGAATCAGAAATCTGGGTGGTAGTATTATTGTGCATGCTCTATGATACCACTAGAACGCATCGACCATACACAGTGGACAGACAGTCTTGCCACGTTTAGCTAGCTTCTTGACCAACATTCTACTTGCTTCTCACCCAATTCGTATATTCGTTTCTTATAATAGGGTCATCACGGTCATCTCTAATCCTGCTACTATTTGCTACTACGTAAAACTTCAGTGGCAAGGGTGACATGGGGCCTAAAGCCCCTGACGGAACCCCCGGAAGACACCCAAGCCATTAGGGTAATGCGAGGCAAGCACCAATATTGGCCGATTTTAGATATTTGAAATGCATTTGGCAATAATTCATCTGCTCCAGCAACACCAATGCATCGCCCAACATTCATTTACTCGGATTCATAGTCCAAACTCCCCACTCACAGCCTCAGCAAACAATCTCACCCCCTCCTTCAGATCGCCCTCCTCCGCAGCCGCAAACGTCATACGAAAATGCAGATGGCCATTCAGATGTTTATTCGAAGCGAACAGCGAACCCTTAGTTACAAGCACGCCCTTCTCCAAAGCCTTAGCTGCAATCTTCTCCTCCAGCCCAACTATCTGCGCACCAATCTCCTCCAGCGACATTCCGGACAAGCTTTTAAGCTCTGGATGCTGTCTCCAGTCAATCTTAACCCACAAAAACATGTCGAACTCCGGTGCATTCCACTGCACAATCTTCCTGGGCAAGTAGCAATCACAAGCACCAAGGAGGACATCCCGCCGCCACCGATACTCTCGCGAGAGATTAATAAGCCACGCGGTGAATCCGTCATGTCCCCAGTTCTCATCGAGCAAATGCCAGAGCATAAGCTGGGAGGGGCCGCTAACAGCTAGAGTGCTCACTTCCTGGTATGCAGTGAACTTGTCGATGATTTGCTTGGATGCAGTGACCCAGCCGGCGCGTAATCCGGGAGCGAGAATCTTGGATGCGGAATCAATACGTACCACGCGCCCGGATGTGTCTAAAGTGAGGTAGGAGGGAATAGACTCAGTATGAAATATCCGAGCGGCTTTGTCATCTCCAGATGCAGAGCCATTGGCATCTTGGTCGTGATCATAGTAAGGGCCCATCCTCAGGAAATAGTATGGGTCATCCTCAATGATTATGAGGTCATGTTTTTCTGCAACATCATAGATTGCTCTGCGTCTTTCCAGGGGTTGGCTAGCTCCTGTCGGGTTCTGACCCGTAGGGATGGTATACAGCACGCGTGGTTTGGGAGATTGAGCATCATTCCAGGAGGAGAGTACCTCATCCAAGACATCAGGTCGCAAGCCATTCGCATCCATCTCAATCCCATGAACCCTAACCCCGTTCAATTCGGCACTTTCCAGCGTCCCCGGGTACGTATACTGCTCCGCTACAACAGTGTCTCCACGATCACAGAAAATGCGAAACGCTGCCTCCGTCGCAGCAGTTGCACCACAGGAGAGGAATGTCGCCCAATCTGCATACCGCGGATCGTGAACGAGCTCAACATGCTCGGTAATGAAACGGAGTAAGTGTGCTGATCCGTTTGCGAGGCAGTAATTTAATGCGATTGAGAGGTTGTATGTTGCACCTTGTTTGGAGATGCTGTACGCAGAGTGGCCCTTTTCCTGCCCGTTGGATAGGTGTAGATTGGATTTTGTTGTAGTTTTGATTGTAGGCACTGGAGGAGCCTCGCCCAGGGTTATTGATTCCCAGGGATAATAATCCGCAGTTGGTCGTCCTGTCCCGAGAGATATGATCTTGCGCGGACCGCTTGGACTAGACCCCTTTTTCAATGCTGAGCCGGTAAAGTTCCGGCTTTCGATGCTGAAGTGATCGTCGAATCGTTTTGCAGGCGGTTTTGCACGGGTGTAGGGTGATTTGTACAGATCGGAGGAGACGGAAGGGGCAATTGTGAGAGGGAGAGGAGGCGCGGCAGCACGAAGGGCTTCGATTTCAGTGGATTGCAGACGTGCCATTATCACTAATGGATGTTGGGCTGAAGTGCCGATAATCTGCAAGGTATTCTTCACGACGTCTTAAACGATGGTCTTCTCTTATAGATTCGGGCAAGATAGCTAGCTAGACTTCGTTTATCTTGATATCGGAGAGATCGGAGTGATGTACTCGAACACTCCGAATACTCCGCTCCTCGTTGTCTTTCGCGTATCGCGCCTTTTTCCTTTCCTTTACTCTTGCTGATCTGTCTGGGTGATCTTCATGTTTATAATATGGTGCTATAGTATGTACGCAGCATACATATGTCCACGCGCGGCTTTTTCTCACAGTCTATCGTCACCGAAACGCAACGACATCATCCGTGAGCGGACTTCTGGGCCACTTCCCTCAGTCCAAAATCCATGAGCGCCCACTAGTAGTGCTCGTTACCTCTCAAATGGGCTCAAGTGGTATTTGGAGCTTTTAATATTAATATCATGCCTAGAGTGATTATGAAAGAGCTTATCCATCATACACCGCGTATGACAGAAGGATGCTTTCCCATTCCCCATAATTACTAGCATAGTGCATCTGCTTTCGAGTTCCTTATATTTTCGGGGCCTCTTTAAGCGCTCATTTAGTCTAACTCACAACATTCCTTAGGTGTGAGCTGGAAGGCTCAGGACTTCGTCAATATGAGGTTAAGAAGGGCTACCCTACAACCCATGATAATAGCAACAGATTCGATCTGAAGGTCGCTCACAACGCTGTTTCAATATGCGTGTGCCATTCCAGTTAATTTGGAGTGCTTTTTCGCCCAGAAACTCGTACTTTATGTTCACAGTGTCCGACGAAGCCTACATTATAATTACTAGTAACAATTTTAAGTTCCCAGGGTCCCGCTTACATAGTCACCAGAATACTCGCTCGAGCAAGACCACATTGAGCCCTTAATTCATTACATCTGTCTGGGAGTAGTATAACATTAAGTGGTACTGGTGCAAATTGTCTTATCTCGGCATAGTCACTTACCCCGCTCCGAGACCCCGACAACGCTACCCACGCCTCTCCGTACTCGCCGGTCCACCCTCAAGCGTGTCAACGCAGTAATTGCACCATTGCTTCTGCGTTTGTATAATGGCAACTAGATTGGCTGCATGTGAGCCTTGCAGAAGGTCAAAGCTTGCATGCGACCACCAACAGCCGGTCTGCAATCGGTGCAGGGATGGCAACCGACCGGGTCTTTGCATCTATAGAAGTGCGCCCTTCAAAAGAAGAAAGACCAGCAATACAGTGACAGATAATGGATCTTCCCATCAGTATGGTGTCCCTGATTCTTAGTGCTGCTCGACTATACATTGGCTAAGACCCTGCCACTTCTTTGGGTACCACCATATTTAGCTCTCCCGACCCGTCGCCCACAGCATCATCCCCACCTCATGCAGGGGGAAATAGATATCCCAACCCAGGATATCTCGGGTCATCAAGCCATGTTGCTATCTTTAAACATATCACTTCATCAGATAGTCAGAGTGCTACATCACATCAGAGTCCTAGCACCGCTTCTTGGACAGCATCACTTTTCCCGCCTGACGATGATCTTGTCGTTCAGCGATGTGCAGATGCCCTCAAAATGCTCCTGACGAGGTTTTCCTTGCCTGCTATGAAAGAGCTAGTCAAGCTGTGGCAGGCAAGGGGTACCAATCTCGCTATTATGGGGGCTATGGTTGATCAATGTGTTGATAACATTCCCCTCCCACCCTCATCGACAAACGAAGACTGGCATCTGCTATATGCAAAATCCCTTCTCAACAACTCTTCCCAGCCGCTTAGATACTCACAACGCTCTACCTTTCCAGAGTTCTGTGCTCAATTCATTAACCAGAATATGCGATGGGAAACGCTCGCAATCTTTTTGTCAGCTGTTGTCCGAGCCACTATGGATATCCAGTTTTTCCCGTCGCTGTATACGACCGAGGAGAAGAAGTATAGCCTCCGAAAGCTATGCACGAGATTAGCGGACTATGCACTGGAAATCACCATATCTCTTGACTGTCTGAATGATCTTCAAGTCTGCTTGCAGTACGAAAATTTTATAGTGCATTCTCATGTAGACGGGGACCATAGTACGTTTCCTATGTGTATGTTCCACGTTCATGCATCGCTAATCACGCCCAGGCTACTATTCGTGGCGAAAGCTCGGAGATGTTATATCCTCGATATATGCTCTCGGCTACCATGAGAATCTCGATGAGAAGCCCGATACACCTCGCTTCTTGACGGAGCTACGCAAAGCTGTCTTTGCCCGCGTGTATTCGGCGGACAAAAACGTTGCCATCTTCGTCGGTCGTCCACCCCGCATGAACAGACAATTCTGTCATTTCCAGATCCCATCAAGTCCGCTTCCCGATGACGTCTGGTTTATCTCCTCTGATAAGCCCGATAATGAGATCGACGATCCCTTTAGCTGGAACCCGTCGACTAAAGCGAGTTATATGGCTGAAACTCGGTGGACTGCATTGTGTGCCGGGGTCAAAGAGGATATACTTAATTTGCAAAGAAGTCGGCCAAGTGACATGGAGCTTTTCTATCAACGGGTTTCGTAAGCTTACTTTGCAATATAACCTTTTATTGTGTATAACTAACGGAGTCAGTGACATAAAAGCACAGGCTGAAAAGAACTACTCTTCACTGCCTCGACAGTTTCAGTTCCGCAACAATCTCAGGGATAGTACACTGAGCACCTTCGAACGCGACTTCATCGGCTCAGTGCAATTGAATCACTTACACACGCTCTTCCTGCTGAATCTCCTCCTGCTCAGTACTCCTACTGAACCCGATCCCACCCTCGTGGACATCGCCGAACAGATCCTCTCGGTAACAGTGGACATGGTCCTCCTGCGTGATCAACTTACAAACTCAGGGACATGTCTCTTGTGGAAGGTATGTGTCAAGCTCCGTGCTCATTTCGTACTTCCCATGTCTAGCGGCCCTGAAGGTAACTGTAATCGTTGAAGGTCGCCTATCATTGTCTCCCCGCTGCTGGCATCCTCCTCCTCGCCCTGCTCAATGAGCGAGCCACTCCCAGCATGCCACGTATAACACAACCCAGAACGCTTCAGCACTTGACAATCCTCGCTGCGGAGATCCAAGCCGGATCGATCATTCGGCCCCAAGAACCCAATTATGAGCTAATGTCCAAGGCCATGCAAACAATCCAGAGCTTCCTTGATTCAGTCACTTCTGAACCCATGCGCGCTGTGCCAGCCATGACACCCCGCAGCCCGAATCTTATCGAATGGTCCAGCTTTCCTTACCAGCAATCGTTAGATTTTGAGATTGGGTTCTGGGAGAGTCTTGCCGACCATCCCCTGCTAAGTTTCCAGTCTGGGCTTATGGCGCCCGAATAGAAATTTCTTTTCATACAAGACCCTGCAAGTTAATATATATTAAAATCAACAAAAGTATATTGAAGTGGCCCTTTACCAAGAGTGAATCAATGTGTATACCCCACGATCACGTGCCCGTGGGGCGCCGGCGTCGGGAAAACTCTAATGGCACAACACATGACGGAGGCCCGTGGGTATCCATTTAGATATCAGTAGAAGCACGATTAAATATCGTCTGGATCGCAGTGGACACGGACTAGTGTTGCTTGTATCCCTGCATTGTTTCGACCCCTGTATCTGCACGGCGTTGGCACCCTTCACGTCCATCCCCTGCGACAAGTGTCCCATTCCGGGTCCATTTCCCCCCGCTCAATCCAGTGTGATCCAAGCTTGACTGTCCACAATGGAGGCGGAACTTCAAGCACAGATCCCCGGTCTTGACCGCGTGGTATCAGAGTACTCCGTGGGGTATCTGACCCATGCCTCCAAGGCCTATGTGGAAGATGCCAACGCTCCGTCGCCACTGGCCGAAGCGGCCGACATGGTCACCGAGCTCCTTGTCTCCGCATCGGGCGACTTCACCTCCGAGAATGAAAAGGCCATCCGCAACTTGGTCGAGAAATTCATTTCCTCGCTGAGTGCTGCTGACGGTGTGGACGCCGAGCGTCGCCAGATGCCCTTTGCCGCCAAGAAGCTCGACCAGGCCATCAATGTCGGCTCTCAACGGAATATGTCGTCTACTCTGGGTCTTGCCGGAGGTAACGTCGATCTGGAGTCGGCTAACGCCAGAAAGGTGGAGTCTAAGGTAGACCGCAAGAAGCTCGAGAAGGCCGAACGCAAGATTCGTGCCAAGCAGGAGAAGAAGCAGATGAAGACAGTGCAATACGAATCGTCCCGTCTTCTCAACCAGCCCGATAGTACTATGTCTTACGAAGAGTTCTTCATGGCGGTTAACCCTCTGCAGCTGGGCTCGGACTCCCAATCCAAGAGCAAGGACATCAAGGTGGACAGCATCGACATCTCCGTCAGTGGTCACCGTATCTTGACAGACGCCTCCCTTACCCTGGCGTATGGTCGTCGCTACGGTCTCGTCGGTCAGAACGGTATCGGAAAGTCTACTCTGTTGCGTGCACTCAGTCGCAGAGAAGTGGCTATTCCCAGCCATATCTCCATTCTTCACGTCGAGCAGGAAATCACGGGAGATGACACACCCGCCCTCCAGGCTGTCCTCGACGCCGACGTATGGCGCAAGCGTCTCCTTGCCGACTTGGACAAGATCACCAAGCAGCTGGCGGACATTGAAGCAGAGAGATCCTCCATGGCAGACACATCCAAGGATGCCGCTCGCCTGGACCACGAGCGCGAGGGTCTCGACATCACACTAAACGACATCCACTCCAAACTCGCAGAAATGGAATCAGACAAGGCAGAGTCCCGCGCAGCCAGTATTCTGGCTGGTCTCGGTTTCTCGCCCGAGAGACAACAATTCGCGACGAAGACCTTCTCCGGAGGTTGGCGTATGAGATTGGCTCTTGCCCGAGCCCTGTTCTGCGAGCCCGATCTCCTCCTGCTGGACGAACCGTCCAACATGTTGGACGTGCCGTCCATTACTTTCCTCTCCAACTACCTCCAGACATACCCCAGTACCATCCTGGTCGTTTCTCACGATCGAGCATTCCTCAACGAAGTCGCCACCGACATCATCCACCAGCACTCCGAGCGTCTCGACTACTACAAGGGCGCCAACTTCGACTCCTTCTACGCGACCAAGGAAGAGCGCAAGAAGAACGCCAAGCGCGAGTACGAAAAACAAATGGCCGAGCGCGCCCATCTGCAAGCCTTCATCGACAAGTTCCGCTACAACGCTGCCAAGTCCTCCGAAGCCCAGTCTCGTATCAAGAAGCTGGAGAGGATGCCTGTCCTGGAAGCTCCCGAAAGCGACTACGTCGTGCACTTCAAGTTCCCCGAAGTGGAGAAGCTCTCTCCTCCCATCGTCCAAATGTCCGACATCGCCTTCGGATATACCCCCGACCGCCCCCTTCTCCGCAACGTGGACCTCGACGTGCAACTCGATTCACGTATCGGTATCGTTGGACCCAACGGTGCCGGTAAGACCACTGTCCTGAAGCTCCTCACCGGCCAACTCCAACCGACAAAGGGTCTCCTTTCGCAACACGCTAGACTGCGCATCGGATTCTTCGCCCAACATCACGTCGATGCTCTGGACCTGACCACCAGCGCCGTCAGCTTCATGGCCAAGGCTTACCCCGGAAAGACAGACGAAGAATACCGCAGACACCTCGGAGCTTTCGGTATCACAGGTATGACGGGTCTTCAACGCATGGAGCTCTTGTCCGGAGGTCAGAAATCCCGTGTGGCCTTTGCATGCCTGTCGTTGACGAATCCGCACATTCTGGTTCTGGACGAACCGTCTAACCATTTGGATATTGAGGGTATGGATGCACTGTCGGAGGCGCTGCAGAACTTCGAGGGTGGTGTGGTTATGGTCTCTCACGATGTCACGATGCTGCAAAATGTGTGCACCAGTCTCTGGGTTTGTGATAAGGGTACGGTGCATAAGTTCGATGGCACGGTCAATGCTTATAAGAAGTTGATTACCGCTCAGGCTAATGAGGCGGGTGTTGTTGCTGCTCATTGAGTGGGGAGGCGGTGCGTTCACTGCTAGTAATGATAAAATGTTATGGATATCTTCAACGATGTTTGATCTCTTCCAAGTCGTAGCGGTTGATGTTCGCCGGTGTGTATATTTCAGTAACTGCTCCTGCTCGAACGCCTCGGTCTATCTCGAGTAAATAAGCTACTGGTTGCTACACTCTGTCGGGTATTGGTGGTCGCAGGGATAGGGCGAACTGAGAACTAGCCACTCCAGTTCGAAAAGAAGAGCATACTACATCTGGCTTCACATAGTAATTGGATCGTAGTAATACCTTCAATGATCAACCCTGTGATAGATTGATTGGAAGTATAGTTGAATGATTAAAGTTGAAACATTCGACTTGCGGAAAAGCTCCGCTCGGATATATAAGTCCGCTATGCACTACCAACACTACTAGTGGTACCGCTCCGGTACCAGCAACCCAGAACACAATTCAGAGAATGGACAGAAAAAAGAAAAGAAAAACAACAAGAACAAAATATATATAGAAGATGTCCTTGGATCAAATCCTTATGTTCCAGCTTGTCATAGTCCAATGTGAATTGGATAGATATCGAAAGAGAAAAAAGAAAAAGGAAGGGCCGAACGCGATTTGAACGCGTGACCTTAAGATCTGCAGTCCCACGCTCTACCCCTGAGCTACCGGCCCTTCTTGTTGTTTGGTTTGCTATTTTGTTTGTCTCTTATGCAGGGGTGCACAGATGTTCTGCTGTTCTTTTTGAGTCCCATGGTCCGTTGGGAGTTCTCCCAACATTAGTTGTAGGTAGGTGGTGGTAGTGGTAGTGCTGCAGCCATGATAGCGATATCGTATATCTTGATACCTGTAATAAGTCTGTATGTCTGTTTACCATTGGGAAAGCTCAATCAAGAGTCTAATAGAAGTGTCATGGAAGGCAAGTCAAAGACTACATGTAGTATCTGGGGTTAAGCATCCAGACCAGTACTGCGAATGCATGTTATTTACTTTGCCGGATTACATCATCCATTTATATCTATCTGGATATCATTCCGTCAATCCGAATCACCTCTTCGAGTAGTTAGTGTATAGGTCGAACCATGAACATGCATACATCCACCTGCAGACCAGCCCGCGTCGAAGCTCTGTCTCTTTGATTGAACACAATAATGCAGTGGGATCATATATACTATGCTGATAAGTATTTACTTATTGAGAATACAGTCCATCTAATCTAGAACCCCGCATCATCACCGCTATCACCATCGCCATCAATATCCATACCATCCTCATCGTCGTCGTCGAGTCCTTCGAAGCTCATGAACTGCTCATTCTTAGCATCGGTTTCTTCCTCAACCACGACGCCATCTTGGATTTCACAGTCCTATAAAAGTAGTTAGCAAGCCGTTTATCTACATGGCTTAGCAGATTTCAAACGCACCTTGAGTACGGACTCTTTTCCGACCTGACTGTATCTTCCGACTGTAAAATTGTCAATAAGTTTACTTCATGACCTGAAATTGTGTGCATTGTAGAAGACTTACCGATACATCCTGTAAGGACACACTTCGGTCCGATGACTGCGTTGTCCATGATCACACACCTGGTTCATGTTAGAGATTAGGGTGTAGATAAGGCAGGAGCATGGGATGCCTACCTCGTAAGGCGCGCGCCGCTGCAGATCTTGGCGTTGGCAGAAATACAAGACTCCTTGATGACACACTTTTCCTCGACCTTTTTCAAAATGTTAGCGTTGAAATACATAATCAATAAAGTTCACGATGCTCACCGTCACATTAGATCCCAGCAAGCAATCGCCCTTCGTGACAATAGATTTCGACGCGACTGCCTCCGGAGTAGCAATCTTCGCGGCATGGCTAAATGGTGAGGCAGCAGCACGGCCGACCTCTTCAACTGACTCGAGCTTGGCAAGACGCAGGGACATGGCCAACACCAGGGCGGCACTGTCCACGCGCCGAATGAGTTGCTTGGACGGCTTGGTCGTGTATGCGAGGATGGGCGGCACCTCCACTGAGGATTGACTAGATTTCGTGCTGCGGGCCTCGGAACCCTGAGCGTGGGTGGTGGTCATGCTGCGAAGATCGATTTCCTCCTCCAAAGAGTCGCCGTCGTTGCTTCCATGATCATCTTGAGCCTCCTTCTGTCCGCCCAGGATCTCATCAATGCCGAGCTTGGCGCTCAGTCCACGCTGCCACCCCGCTTTCGCCCAGTAGCCGATCAAGTCTTCACTTACGGACTCGAAGCGCTCCTGGTGCTGTGCAAGCGATCGAACCCACTTAGGCAGAATGTACAAGTGCGCATCGCGGTAGCTGGTCAGCATCTTGACCGAGGCATGCTTCTCCACCAGGGTGTGACGGAGTAGGAGTCCCTTATCATTCTCTATCTGCTCTTTCAAGGTATCCATGGGCATTGACAGAACCAGCTTTGAGAGCTCGTGACGCGAGACAGAAGGGACCTCATCCTGGTCGAGAGAAGTTATTGCCACAAAATCTGTAGGCTCTTTCTTGATCTCGTCTTGAATGCCTTTTGCGGGATAGAACACAGACAGACCTCCTTGAGCAGCGGGGCCCAATTCACTCTGTGAGGCGAGCCATGCCTCAAGCAAATGCTCGCCAGGGATATCGCATAGCAGATCGCAACTCAGGAGCAAGAAATTGGATTGGATGCAAGCTTGTACTTCTGGTAGGCGTAGTAGTTCCGCGGTTCCTGTCGTCATCTTGAGGTCCTTCGGGGCGATTATCGTGGGGGAGGGCGAAGAGAGTGACGTGAGGTAGGGGTTTTGTTGTAGAGCGGCCTTGAGGGGAGCCAGAGCGGAGGGAGGTGTGATCAGGACGATATCTGAGCCGTTAGTCTTTCTCCCAAGCAAGGACCGCAAGACCCAACGGCCCCAGGGGGGCGCATTGCAGTTTCTCACCATTTATTCCTGCGCGCTTGCACCAATCCAGCGGGTAGTATACCATAGGCCTAAGCTGTGTATCCATTGGTATTAGTGACTGCTTGCTCTTGGGTCTGCGCGGAGAATTCGGCAATACATACAGCGATAGGGATTAAGCATTTTGGATTTTCTTCGGGGTTGGAGGAGATAGTGTTCAGACTCTCGCCAGGACCACAGAGGATCAAGGCTTGGAAGCCACTGCTCGGGACTGGCGTGGCATGCACCATGTTGATTTGCGATTCCGATTTTGTGAATGACTATGACAGAACCCCGCGGACAATGGTGGTGGGGGTAGAGGACAAGGAATTGGGAGCCCTTGAAGCTGCAGGGGCCCGATATAAGCCTCTTGAAGTAATCCTCAAAGATTATCAGACAATGCAAAGGAGCGACTGAATGATGCAATCTTGCAATGATTGTCAAATGCCTTCCGCAGGAGGAATGAGTGTGAAGCGCAAGAATGAATTGTGATAATAATTCATCTCCGCCCGAAATTTTGCCCTCAGTCACCGCTGTCACCCCGACAAACAGAACAAAAGTCACACCGCCTAAACCTAGTTATGCTACTACACAGTATCGTAGTCGACTATTGTGTGCGAGTCTAGGCACTGCAGTCTTGCCATGGTTTTACCCCCTTCCTGCAAGTCATGCATCCGGAATGTTCCTGTCCAATTGTCGGCGTCGGACGCAGGATTACTTACGCACTGCGCAGATTTGGCTTTTGGAGTACTTGTCCTGGCCAACTCAGCAGACTGAGCGTGGGATGCGAGTGCGCCATTTCCTGAGCTTCTAGGCTTTCCGCTCCGTTTCCTACCCACTGTTCAGGGAAAACGAGTGTGTGTACTACGATGCAGTTTTCCCATAGTCTATGCTCGTTCGTAATTATGTCTAGAACTGTGCACCGAGAAAGAATGGAAAGAATGGTTTGGTAAGGTATCCGCTAGTTTTCATGTTACACATAAACGTCTCCTTAGCAGGTGGAGACAGTCGCTGCATCTTCTCCGCGGTTCTTCTGGTCTAGTTGGGTCCATAGTGCTTGATAAAGTACTTAGCCATGGAGATGACCGGCTCCGGCTCAAGACCCTTATCCCGGCGGGCCTCGTCCTTGAGTGACTGGCAGGTTGCGAAGTCGTCGGGGTTACCGAAGAACCAGCCATTGTTGTTCTGGGTGTACTTGAAGACATCCTGCAACTCAACGAGGACAGAGTTCCCATGGGTTGGGAAGTCATCCGCTGAGGCCATGGGAATGTAGCGAGATTTCTTTCCCGTAACTGCGACACCCAGTTAGCAACTCCCAGAGAAAGCTAAATCAGAAACCTACCCTCAGTGAAGGTCTTCACCATATCCTCATACGTGAACGCATCACTCACGCACTGAATGGTCTTGTTCTTCCACTTGAGTGGGTTCAGGAACATTCCGTGCACCATCTCACCAAAATCGTCCTCGATGGAGACCGTTTGGACCTTGCCTTCGCCGCCTACCAAGGGAGCGTGCCAGGTCAGGTAGCCCTCGTTGTCGGGGAACATGGGGAAGCCACCGAAGGCCTGCGCGTACTCGGGAGTGACATAGTTCTCGAAGTACCACCCGGGGAAGGCGCCAATGACGGCGTCGAACTCCTTGAATGTTCGGGCATACAACTCACATCGGTGTTTGGCTATAAAGAGGAAAGTTAGACGCGGACACGAAGAAATCATGATGAACATACCATCCATGCCCGGAACGGGTGCGACGCCTTTGGTAAATATCGCAGGAGACTCGCAGGTACTGTAAATGAAGACCTTCACGCCTGCCTTGGCTGCAATCTCGATGAGGCGGTTGCCGAGATCCTCGTCAGTCGGCCCACCGGGTTGCGTTACCGCCTGGATGTTGGCGATCAGCGTGTGATTCATGGAATGAGGAGTTGGTGCCCTCGTAATCAAGAAGGCCACTTACTGGGTCATGGTGGTGGGTGTTAAGCCAGAATCCCCAGGCACCGGACAGGGCATTCTGCATGTCGTTGTCGTTGAATCCATCAGCCTTGACCACCTCAGCTCCTAGGCGAGCCAATTCCTTGGCCTTTTCCGACTGAGGGTTCCGTGTAAGCGCCCGGACGACGAAGTTCTGCTGGCTCTTGAGGAGAGAGAGGGAGATGGACCTTCCCTGGACACCTGGGATAGTGTGTTAGATATGTATACACGGCAAACGACGCTGCAAACCTGACTCACCAGTGGCACCGTATACCACGACCACTTTCTGCAAAGGAGCCATGTTTCTGGACTAACAATGCCAGACAAGGAGGTTGAGATTTAAAATAAATGGATTATGCTTCGGGCGAGACACGCAAATGGAACTTGTAAGGTTGCTGAACGAAGTTATGAGGAGAGGAGGTAGGTGTATTTGTATCCATCAACAGCGCCACCCCGCCAGAACGTCTACCCTTGCGGTGAGATAAATTCGCAAGCAGTACGACTAGATTGGGGGAACGAGCCGGCGAGGGATGGGCTGTTCGGCTGACTCGAGGGAATTTGACCAAAACGGCGAATGGTTTCTGCATGTCGCATATGCGTCTATGACAGCGATGCAGCTGCGGCTTTTCCAGTAATTGGCTTCGTCGACGAGGGAGGGAGAGAGTTCGTCTGCATGGTGAGACATCGAACACTTCGATTCAATGGACAGGCAGCGTGGACATGGTCGAAAAACCAGTTTTTGGGTCACAATTAATGACCCCAGTTCTTGGGAAGGCGACGCTCGCAGACGGATGCAGTCCACTGATTCGCCTTTTCTAGGTACCGCCTCTCTTTGAAAGCGTACTTTACATGTTCAAATCTATCGGCTTCGACCGGACCTGGCCCGGCCGGATAGCATAATAGGGCATAGTAGCTTGTATCGAGCTCTCTCGAATAGAATCGACTTCGTGGGCCGGTTTAGGATATACGAGTAGTACTACTTTACCACTGGAAGCGGGGCACAGGAAAGGATACCAGACATGCTCAATGAGATATTAATACTACTACAAAATAGTAATGCTTGTCCCACTAGCCCCTCGGATGCAATTATGGTATCTAAGTAGCCCGCTGCCCGGAAGTAATACTAGTTATGTTCATCGTAGTACTGACTCGACAGTCAATTACATGTGTGAGATGTACTTTATATATAGTCGGAAACCATCTTCTGTTTACCGCTCGGACCATCGTAGCGTCGGGCGCAAGCCGCAAGTATGCCTTATCTAGGTTGACGCAGGATCAGTCTGGATAGTTGCGGGGATGAGGGGACAACTATTGAACGTTAACAATGTTCTGGTCCGGTCCACTGATGCCAGTGATGTGCGTCCCCTACATGATACATTTGAATATGGATCGGTCCAGCCAACATGACCGGTCTGCCGCAGCGTTTTAGTCCTCCGTGCCAGCGCTCAATGAAATAGCAGGGGCAACGCACATCCGACCCCTTAAGGTAGGACTGCCGCTGCACGCGCGTTATTGAGATTCATAATAGTCAGTCGAGAGTTGAGTACTCCATAGATAATTGTCTTCTCTATACCATGACACGTGACTGTCCGTATCATCACGTGCAGATACCCGCTCACGTCACTGGCACCAGGCACCATCAACAACAGATCGCCAAACACACCAACACTACTAACTGGGACAGCTGCAACATCCGTCTTCTTGACGGATTCACCCCGAATAACCCTCCAGTGACCTCATCCATCACAAGAAACTATATTATCCTCGAAGTCTGCGAAACCGAGCCATGGACTAATCCATTGTTGCATCATCATCTTCACACCATTCTTGCTTCCAACGCTAGCAACAAAACTTGAGATCTTCGCAGCAATGGACGAGGTCAGCCCCATTGCCGAGCTCCTGGGCCAGGCAATCTACCAATTTACACAGATCAAACCTTTGTTACCAACCTACGGACATCTGCTTGTCTCTGCGCTCTTTCCCATCTACATCGGCGCCCATGCATCCCTGTCAAGACCGTCTTCGGCCGCGAAACCTGAGAAATCGGAGGAAGATGGAGACGAGTCAGAAGAGGAAGCTGGTGGTATTCAGAAAATGGAGGGTCTTGCACCAAGTGATGCATTGATGTTTCCACTAACAGCTGGTTTAACCCTCGGGGGCTTGTATCTGGTCATTAAGCACATGGGCGCTGATCTGCTGAATAAGATTCTTGGCTACTATTTCTCCCAGATGGGTATGCTCTTTGCTATCGCCTTCCTGAAAGACTCTTTTGCTGTCGCGCGGTCATTCGTCTTCCCCCGCGAGTACAGCAGCTCTGGCAAGATTTGGAAGCGGAGATCCACCCAACGTGTTTTTGAAAGCGCTTCCGAAGGTGTCTCTAGATCGGAGTCTTCGGAGGTGGGAATCCGGAACTCTCCCCTTCCTGGGTTCTGGGGGTCAATCCCATTGCCGCATACTGCTCGTGCAGCACTCTGGACTTGCCGTGAAATAGTATATTGGCGCGCTAAGCTTAGAATCCATATACATCGTGTTCTCCGCACTGAATGCTGGCTTAGTATCTTGGACATTATCAGCATAGCTGTATCATTCCCTACAATTGGTTACTTCACTTTTGTGTCCAAACCATGGTGGTTGACCAACTTCCTGGGATTCAGTTTCTGCTATGGCACCCTGCAATTTATGTCGCCGTCTACTTTCATCACCGGATCGCTGATCCTGGGATCTTTGTTCTTCTATGACATCTATTTTGTCTATTTCACCCCACTGATGGTGACGGTTGCAAAGACCTTAGACGTCCCAATCAAGCTCCTGTTTCCGCGCCCTGCAGCGCCTGGGGAGGCACCTGATACTATCTCTCTTGCTATGCTGGGACTGGGTGACATCATCATTCCCGGTATGATGGTAGGCCTGGCACTCCGGTTCGATCTTTATCTCTACTACAAGCGCAAGGGCCAGCAAAAGGCGCGAGCAGAGGGCAAGGACTCAGAAATAGTCAAGCCTGTATATCAGTCCGCGCTGGGAGGATGGGGAGAACGGTTTTGGACCCGTTCAGTGGTACCAAGCAAGCCGCAGCTGGACCCTCCCTACCACAACGCCCGATCTTTCCCCAAGCCTTATTTCACCGCCAGTCTCATTGGATATGTCATGGGTATGCTTGCGACTCTGATCGTAATGCAGGTGTTTGACCATCCCCAGCCTGCGCTCCTGTACCTTGTACCTGGGGTCCTGATCTCTCTGTGGGGAACCGCATTGGTGAGAAAGGAGATCCAAGAGATGTGGGAGTTTAGCGATGCGGAAGAAGACGAGGAACAGGAGCCCACAGATGATAAGCAAGCAAAGGATTCGGTCGAGACTGGCGGGCAAGCATCTCTTTTCTCCCGGATATTTTCCAAATCTCATGATGCCGCGTCGAATAATGCTTCCAAGGAAGCTGCAGAGAGACAGGCGTCGGAGGAATCCGCCAAAGACGAGGATGATACCACAAAGAACCTCGAGTTATTCACCATTTCCTTGTACTATCCTCGGAAGCAACAGCAACAGTCCGACAAGACTCAGAAGCCCACAGAGCGTGTTTCGTCCCCGGAGGACGATGAAAATTGGGCCATTGTTGGTGCTGACCGGGATGCTGAACCGCCCACGAAGCGCCTGCGTCGGAGTCCCAGACATGCAGCCGACCAGAAATAAGAAGCTGCGCAGCCACTACCAAATCATGATCTCAATAACGCTATAGTGAAAATTGACCGTTAGATTGTTACACTGCGTACATCTCTATAGTAGACCCGTATAGTAATTCTTAGTGATAAAAGACGCACGGGTGACCTCCCACGTGACCTTCCCCAGACATAGCGGTGCGGAGTAAGTACGGAGCGGAGTAGTTCGGGAGTCTTTAGAATCCCCCGACAGCTTCACCTCAACTCGAATCCCGATACACTCAGTCACTCCTACATCCCCTCACCATACTCGGGCACACGCCCCAATCGCACAGCCCAAGTGGCGCGGGACATAACCCTTCTCTCCCCCACCCAATACTACAACATGGACTTCTACACCTCCCCCCATAACCACACCAAGAACCCCGGATCGGCCGTCTCCCCAACCGCATCCGCAACCACATCGACCCGCGAACCCAAGCTTCAACTCCCCTCGACCACCGACCCACCGGGCCCCTCCAACCCCCCAAAGCCCCTAGTATGGCTCATCTTCGGCGCAACAGGCCATATGGGCCGCTCGCTCGTCAAAACGGCTCTATCGCGGAATGACCTCGTCAGCGCCGTTGGCCGCACCTTCGAAACCAGCCCCGCAGCCATGTCCAAGCTCGAACAAGAACACCCCAATAAGTGTCTCGGACTACTCTGCGACGTGCGCGCCCGCCCCACCGTCCAACGCGTCATCGACGCCACGATCGCGCGCTTCGGGCGCATCGACATCATCGCAAATTGTTCCGGGTACGGAGTAATCGGGGCGTGCGAGGACCAAGACGAATACGATATCCGGGACCAGTTCGAGACGAATTTCACAGGCACATTGAATATGATTCAGTTGTCGTTGCCGCATTTTCGGGAGCGCGGGGCCGGGCGGTACTTGATTTTCAGTTCGACGTCGGGGGCCCTGGGAGTGCCGGGATTGGGACCGTACTGTGCGAGTAAGTATGCGGTTGAGGGGTTGATGGAGAGTATGCTCTATGAGGTGGATCAGTTTAATATTAAGACGACGCTGGTGGAACCGGGGCATATGAGACGCGATGATGTGGGGGATTTGGTGGGTGGTGTTGAGGAGAGTATCTTTGGCGGTGGTGGTGGGTATGGCGCGGAGGAAGAGCAGGATAGTGCCAACAATTTGGCGCTGGGGTCACCGTTACCGCTTTATGGCCATTTCTTGGTCAAGCCGCCGAGCGAGCCGTATAATACGCCTACGTCGCCGGCGGCGCATGCGAAGCGCATGCTCATGTGGTTGGGGGATAAGCAGCCGGCAAGTGCGGTTAAGGCGGCGCATTTGGTTTGGCAGTTGGGTCATTGCTCGTATCCGCCGTTGAGGTTGATTTTGGGGACGTATGCCGTGGAGAGTATTCGGGATCGCTTGAAGTGTATTATCGAGGAGATCGAGGATTGGAAGTACCTCAGTTTTCCGACGGGGGAGCAGCAGGGGCAGCAGCAGGGGCAGGTGAAGGATAAGGGACCTGCTTCTGTGTCGGGGGGCCGAGAGGGTGATGAGATGGATGTGAAGTGATGACGATATAGGTTCAACTGACTATGACTATAGCTGATTGAGCAGCGAATCCCGCGATAGCAATGTCGCAGTGGTAAGGCCACTGCAGAGTCAAGCGCAGCTGGAGTACATGTGCCGGAACTGGATAGGGCACTTCGCAGGCCCTGAAGGGGATCTGCCTGTACCATATTCCGGAAGGTGTGGACAAGTCTCACGTCTACAACGGCCTCCAACAGTTGACCTACTATCTGGTCTGGTCACTTCCATGCGTCTGTGAGAGACAACCAGCCAGCAAGTGTTCGCAGGATAAGGCGAGAAGTAGCGCTACACCGAGATGACTCAATGAGTAATGAAACCAAAGACATAGTTACTATACATTACACATATATCATCTATACTATACTACATTATATTTATACTATATACACTACAATCTACACCCACACATTCTCATCACCCACAAACCGGCCCATCAAACCCCCTCGTCCACCCCAACGAACCAACAATAACCACCACAAACCCCAACGCAACACCCACACTCACAGTCCCATAAACATACGCCGCCCATCTCTTCCTCCCCCCAGCAGCCCCAAGCGCATTCAACTCCGCCACCCAAGTACTAATCGTTGTCGCCGACCCACAAAACCCATCCATAACCCCCTGCAAGACCTGACACCCCGTCAACACACCCCCTCCAATGCTCCCTACATGCTGCAAATCGTAACACATAGCCAACACGACCGTCCCGAAGATATTCACCGCAAAAGTCCCCAGCGGGAAACTCGGCACTCTCGCATTCAGCAACAAGCTGACATAGAACCGAAGGAAACACCCCAACGGCGCAAACACAATCGCAAACACCGCACGACCACGCCACACCTCCATCCCACCATCATTGCGATCCGGCGGCCAAATCGCAAGAAACACCGCCCCAAGCCAACACCCCCATCCCAGCACCGCCATCAGCGGATCCAGAACCCGTCTCGTGAACCGAAACGGAACAGTAGGAGTGATACTATCCAACGCAGCAGCAAGATGCGTTCCAAACAACAAAGCACATAAACTCAGCGAAACCGTCATAAGAATAACAGCGACCAGAGCCATGAAGCTATACCCCCCATTCCTCGAAACAATATTCTCTTGTGACGGATTCGACAAATCATTCGTAAGCGCCAGGAAAACATCCCGAATGAACGACGAGAAAGACGTAAAGCAGCCGCAGAAACCCGTCGTGAGGCCGATATACAGTGGGATGGTCTTCTTGATGGTTTTATGTTGTTTTGCGCGCTCAGAGGGGTCGACATTGTTATTATTGGGGGTGCCCCATTCTTCGCGAAACAGGTTCCGGTCTTCTTGGAAAAAGCCCATTAGGAGGGAGCCGCCGACGTTGGCCCATAGGACGCCGGTGACTACGGGGGCGCCGGGGTAAAAGGTTAGGGCTTGGAGGCCCAGCCGGGCGAGAGTGCCGAAGATGGCGAAGAAGATTAGGTAGGAGATGGTGTAGAATTGGGTGAGTTTGTGGGAGGCGGGGTGGAGGGTGGGTTCTGCGGCGCGGTCTGGTTGTTGTGGTGCGGATTCGAGTGGTGGTGATGGTTTCTCCTCCATATTGGCGGCGCCTGATGCGCCTGGGTCTTGGGGAGCGGGGCCATTGGGGGAGGTGGAAGTGGGCAGTGACATGGCGAATACTGCGGATGATGTTGAAGGATTAGCGCATTGTGATAGTGTGGTGTAGTGGATTGGTGGTGGTGGGTAGTGTAGAAGAAATAGTAAGTAGTCGAGGGATGTGAAATGATGGTGTTTATCGGAGATAAAAAGCTGGTTGGTGGATCCTCCCGCTCGGCATTCTTTCCGATGCCGATGCAACCTGGTACTTTGTACAAAACTACATCGATATCTACCAGAGGAAAACTACGATATTGACTTTTCGACAAGGTAGATATTTACGCATACTCAGAATCAAATATTCATTAGCACAAACGCTCACACTGGGAGTCGGCCGATTCCCGGATCATTACATCCAACCAAGGGCATCGGGAGAGCTCCAATTCAAGTCGGTGCATGAGAGGAATAAAGCAGATTCAAGTCATGAACTTTTCATCACTGGAGCCATCATTGTACTGTGTAGGTTCATAGAAAAGGGGTGGTATCACAGGAAAGAGAGATGCACCAGGTTGGATATAACAAACAATCCAGGTATCCAGTTCCAACCCAACCGCCCAGCCAGTCAAACAAGAGAAACGCCATTCATCCGCCGCAGGAGAAAAGAAAAACAGTGATATCAAGGAGTGGTCAAGGAAGCTGCAAACAGCAGAACTAAATGCGATACAGTGACCAATAAGAATAACACAAAGAAACAAAGAAGTAAAGAAGGGAGGTAATCAGACCTCGTGTAATAAGGGAAGAACTATGTCATTCATCAGACTGGTTCAGAAGCACGGGAGCAGTGGCCTGCATCGTACGGTGCCGAGCGCTGATAGCATCACTAAACCTTCTCCATTCCTGTCATGGAGACATCTCGAGGGGATGGCTCCTGAACTGGAACTTTGATATCCGCCGGGCACGGCTCATCGTGCTCTCGGGGCGGAGCCTCGATCGGCGCCTTGCCCTCTGAGCGCTTCCGACCCAATTTTTCACACCAATGCTCAGCGCTGACCAGGGTGTCGTTGACTACGCCACTGACCTGCGACATCATATCCAAGCCCTCCTGGGCCAAGACGAGGATGCGATGGGCGCTGACGGTGGCGTCCGATGCCGCCGCCATGGAATCTGGCGGCGGGTTGGAGTTCGACGCGATCTGGAACCGATGCGGCAGTGAGGTAAGATGCCGACGCACCAAGTTCCGTGCATTCTCCGGGAGCGCTCCCCCGGCATATTTCGAGACAATGCCCACCACGCGTTTCAGCGTCGCCAGCACATCCGCCTTGACGGCCTGGATGCGATTCGAGAGGACAGTGGTGCTGGAAGCGTCCTGCTCTGCAGTAGAATCCCCATTCTGCTGCCTTGAGCTGTCCCATTCTTTCAGGGCGGCCTTGAGGGCCTCAATCGCTTTGTCCAGCCGTCCATTCGCCCAGCGCAGCCAAGTCAGACAATACTGCAGGCTTCGGAGCGATTCCTCACTCATCGCCACGCCCAGGCCGGATGTCGAGATCATCAGTCGACTCTGCCATGTGGACGGAGTCTGCCGCGACGGACTGTCTCGACTGATCTCGTCATAATTGGGAGACCTCTGATCATCGTAGGGTGGAGGACCCTCTCCCGGCGACAGCCTCATCGCCAGATCTGGGCCCTTCTCTACGTCGACCTCCGTAGACTGTTGCTCGCTGCCAACCTTCCGGCGTTTAGAACGACTAGACTGGGCTGACGAGGATACCCGACGCTGTAACGCCCACCGAAGGCCACTTTCCACGCCAGTCTTCCGGCCCACGGTGCCAACCGTGTTGGCGACGGGAGAGCCAATGTTGCGCTCGAGGAATTCGGCGCTGGATTTGAAACGAGGGGAATAGGATTTGGAATTTGCATAGGCAGACACCGAGCCGTTTATAGCGGATGAGATGAGAGGATGGGTGGAGGTGAGAAGGGACAGTAGCGGCTCTGGTTGCTGCTTGGATTCGGGGCGGTTCATCTGCGACGTTCGCGGCGATTGACCGTAGTCTGATACCATCGACTGTTAAACTCGTCCTGGACAGGCCAAGGGCAAAGGGAGGAAAAAAAAGACATACCAGTGCGAAGGCCCTCCAGGGCTTGGGCGGCTTCGATATCATCCATGGATAGTACACTGGTGGCTCGACGTGAACGGTCTTCCGCTACGGTAGAATGATCGACGTCCATCATGGGGGGAGGAACATGATGAAAAGGGGGATAGGCAGTGGGAGGGGCCGAGTCAGATGAGGAGTCGGTTGAGGGTGAGGCAGTAGATAGCGCTGAAGTATGAGGGCCAGTGGGCGCTGAGACGGCGTCTGGGCGCTCAGAGAGGGAGGTTTTCGGGACCGACCTGCCGTTGGAGCGGTAGTCCATGGCTGCCCGGAGGCCCGAAAAAGGAAAGAGGGCAATGGATGGAGCCTGAAATTGGCTCTAGTGGGAGTAAGGGGAGGGCAAGAATTGAGGAGTAAGATCGTTTCGCAATGGGCGTGGGAGGAGGGACGAAGATCCCTTGTCGGAAGTGTCTGGTTGCGATGATAATTGATTGCTTGCTTTCTGCTGAGGTTGGGGCACTTTCACGTGCAATCACACTCCCGCGCTGGGAAATTCTTCCCCCCGCGCTGACTGGCAGTTACTAACCAAATGAATGGCTTCAACTCTCCCCATCATCATTGGGTTTGTCTACCTACAGTATCCATACTTACTGACTACCAGGCTTTTACAACATTGTCATACTGTCTCGCATCCACATGTGCTTTCCCTCTCCTTCCATCAAAGGTCAATCTTACGATGTCCGGAACTTGCGAAGAGGACTCTGATTTCTGCTGGCAGGCGTCACATGCGCGCGACTCGGATGTCGGCCGTGGGTTTTCACGTTCGTAGCCCATGAATCATGACTCGTCTCACCATCCAGTCGTGGAAACTACTGAATCCAATCCTGCCCGGCGCCTAATTACTCCATCGTACCAACAGCTGCTCTCTCACCTTCTAACCTCTTTTCCGCCTCAACCTAATTCGATCGCTCTGACATGTGATGCCGCGTCATATTGCGCCGCCCCACCGCCTGCCTTCCTGGCGCCTTCCACATGACTCCTGCAATCGTTAGTTGACCACTTACCTGACTCTTCCAATTCTTGTCCATGCATTACTCAGCACTTAACGTCCAACTGTCGAACATATCACGGCTGTTCTGTCGGCAAGTGATGGACCTCTGGAAGCCAGTGATACAGTTGCGAGACACAGTTGCAGGCTTGCTTATTCCATTTTCGGAGCGCTGCGTTGCCAACGCTATTGGCACGTGACCGCGGACAACTTCCGGCCGAGTGAACTATTAGCAGTGTTATACCGCGCGCAAGTCACTATGATTATGCTTTGCGTCCGAAGTGTATCCCACGCTGAAGCCGTGGGTGATTCAGAAATCATTGCTATGACTGACACTCACAGAAAGTTACCAGAGCCTCCGGCTTTCATTCTGAGAACAAACAGTTTGTCTAATCCAGCCAATACTTTCTATGGAAGAAATAAATTACCCATCAGAAAAGCCCCTAATGCTTGGGTACTTTCACCAAAAGTAGCCCTACCGGACCATGCCTCATGTTGAAGTTCGTGTTGAAGATGGAACGAAGTCTTGCCTAGGTGCCAGAGATCAGGATTCGTGAATCGGTGCTTACATTCCGTGGGGGTGCTTAATATTATACTCATATGATGGGAAAGTGCCTGGAAGGCGGAGCAATTGGAGCGACTTGGGGGTAAGTTTGAGGTGTAATCTCCCATGTCTAACAGTAATGGGGTACAACTGTCGTCTACTTTTGTCTGGTGTTCAAGGCAAAGCCTGGATGTAAGACATTTCTTTTCAATGTGTAAAGCATAGACCCGCTATGCTACTCTTATCAATCTATTAAAAGCGGAGCGTGAGTCACATGGCGGCCAGTCACCTGATCCGGCAGCGCCGATGCCGCATGAGATACAGCAGAAAGTCAACTCTTGGGTTTACAACTTTCTGCTCCCAACGTCAATTCCAGCTACCTGATCTTCTCTTGATATACAGGTCCCTTCGCTGGTGTCGCCTGCCTCCAACCTCTCCCTCCTCCATCCCTGTTCCCATCTCCCAACCCCCAATTCCTTGCAATCCGATGGCGTTCGCACGTCTCGCCGCCCGGCGGTTGCCCGTCGCCCGTCGGCTCGTCCCCAGCATTGACTCACTGCCTCAGCAGCGATTCTTCTCCATGTCGCAACATGTGAAGTCTCAGAACAAGGCTTCTGTCCCGAACCCCGATCCTGCTGCTGACTCCGTATCGGTCGCTTTCGTCAATGATCAATCTCCCTACATGTTGCCGACCTACGTGCGGCCGGCGCCGGTCATGGTCAAGGGCCAGGGATGTTACCTGTGGGATATGGAGAACCGGAAATACCTCGACTTGACAGCTGGTATCGCGGTCAACTCTCTGGGACACTGTGACCCCGAGGTGGCCCAGATCATCGCTGAACAAGCCGAGGTGCTTGTCCACGCCTCGAACCTCTACTACAATGCGTGGACTGGAGCTCTGAGCAAGCTCTTGATTGACGTTACTCAGAAGTCCGGTGCCATGCGCGATGCCTCTCAGGTATTCATCTGCAACTCCGGAACCGAAGCCAACGAGGCCGCCATCAAGTTTGCTCGCAAGGTCGGTCGTTCGCTCGACCCCTCCGGCGCAAAGCACGAAGTCGTCTCCTTCCACAACTCCTTCCACGGCCGCACCATGGGTGCTCTTTCTGCGACCCCGAACCCTAAGTACCAGACTCCCTTCTCCCCCATGCTGCCTGGCTTCAAGTACGGCAACTACAACGATGTGGCTCAGCTCGAGAGTCTCGTCACTGAGAAGACTTGTGGTGTGATCGTCGAACCCATCCAGGGTGAGGGAGGTATCAATGTGGCTACCCCTGAATTCCTGGTTGCTCTGCGCAAGCGCTGTGACGAGGTTGGCGCCGTTTTGATTTTCGACGAGATCCAGTGCGGTCTCTCCCGCACCGGCTCCTTCTGGGCTCACGCCCACCCGTCTCTGGCGCCTGCTTCTGGCGAGGCAGCTCACCCCGACATCCTGACTTCTGCCAAGGCCCTGGGTAACGGTATCCCTATCGGTGCGACTATTGTCTCCGAGAAGTCCGTGGCCAAACACATCAAGCCCGGTGACCACGGTACCACCTATGGTGGAAACCCCCTGGTGTGCCGTGTCGCCCACCACATTGTCAACCGTTTGGCGGACCCCGAGCTGCAGAAGTCTGTTGAGACCAAGGGAGACCTGCTGGTGTCTGGATTCAAGGATCTCCAGAAGAAGTTCCCCAACGTCATCTCGGAGATTCGCGGACGCGGATTGATCCGTGGTCTCCAGCTCTCCCCGGAGTTCGTCTCCAAGGCCGGTGATTTGGTTGGTGCTGCCCGGGAGCGCGGCATGCTGATCATCACGGCAGGTGAGGGCTGCATCCGCTTTGTTCCTCCCTTGACCATCACCGAGGAGCAGATCAAGTCCGGCCTCAAGATTCTGGAGCAGGCTCTGGAAGCCGTGGTTGCTCAGGCTTAAATTGGTCCGCGAGTGTTCCCAAAACGATCTACAACTAAAAGTTAATTACTGTTTCTCGGTCTGTGCATATATTCTACCTGTGACGTGACATGCTCTATGCTACTGGATCCCGGGACATTTATATCTATGTTATTTCTTATTTTGATACCTGCTACATTGGTACATAGACGGCGGGATAGAACTTAGAATTGACGATAAATTCAAGGCTATACATTGATCGTGTAGATTCTTTATCATGACTACGAATACCACGTCCTAGATTCGGCTGCAAATCGATCATTTCGCTAGTACTTACACGTACGAGGGCACCGATACTTTTCTCTCGCCTCTGAACAAGGGCATTGATCACCGATGGCGATCATCCCGCAACCAGCTAGGCCCCATGCCGACTAGCACCTTACAGGACAAGTATGTTTCTAGTTCAGTCGGGCAGTTGACGCCTATTCAACCGATGCATCGCACAACATACTTCAATCACTGCATCTACCTTTACTTCGACAGCCTATCTATCGTTCATTCGCCGAAGGCCTGGTATATCATCCAAGGTCATTTAATTGATTCAAACGTAACACTACATAGGCTACTCAAAAATGAGACAACTAAGATACATAGAGAACAAATGAGCCGCTGAAAGTAAACACATCCGTCCGGTTATCAACACACATCATCCAAGAAAGACAACGAAGGAAGAAACCGAACCCTTCATCATACAAACGATGCAATAACTCTGCCAAAACACCCATATACACCCAATCCCTTAGCGCAACCGTTGCATCGCTCCATGAGAGCAGTACATCCCGGCCGCAACAGATCCCATATGGACAGGACGTCCATTGCTGCACATCGACCAGCTAGTACCACCAGGACCGCAGATAATGGCTCCATCGACGCAGGGCTTGCCAGGCACGTACCGGGCACTCTCATCATCAGCAGCAGCACCAGCAACACTAGCATCATTATTAGAGTGCGCAGCAGCCGTAGCAACGGTCGCGACACGCGCTGCCTCAGTTCCGAACGACGAAGCAACCACCTTAGCAGATGATGACGCTGCGGGTGTGCTGGCAACATGAGCAGCAACCTTGGAGGTTGACACAGTTGGCCGAGACACAGTCGGCTTGGAAGTAGACACAGGGGCAGCCTTGACAGAGCTGGCGCCAGAGCCAGAGCTCGAGCTCGAGCTCGAGCCACTACCACTGGCATGCAAGAAAGGCGCATCCCCGGTGCAAGTAAACCCAGCATCAGTACCATTGATACTCCCCTCCACGGACGGTCCCGGCAGGGGGAAGTTCACATCATAGTTCTCGATAGTGGTGCACTGCCCAGGCCCATTAACATTAGCAATGAAGATGGGCGGCAGCGAACTAAACGCATCTCGCTTCCGCATCTCCTCCAGATCCCTCTTCTTACTACCATCTCCAATCGTAACCTGCGCGCAGTTCATATACATCTCCCGATTTCCGACCTTATTGAACCACGTCCAAGTGAGCAGCGCATCGCCCGTCGGTGCATCCGAAGGAATCGTGAACTTGTACGATTCCGTCAGCGGACACCCGCCCAACATGGAGTGAATCACCTGGAAGGATTTCCCTGTGTCGTACGACAGCGAGATCTGGCATGAGCCGCCGTCGTGGGTCGCGCTGCCTTGCAGGTCCAGCTCGTAGGTGCCTCCAGGGCTGTAGCTCGCTACGGAGCGGAAGGGGTCGTTGGCGTAGCCTTTGCAGGGGTAGTCGCTGCCGTCGGAGTCGAGGGGGTTTGTGTATGAGTAGTCTTTCTTGGATTCGTCGCCGTTGGGGTCGAGAGGACTGCGGATCGGGTAGGGGTTGGACATTTGGATGTGGGCTGTGACCGTGCTGGCTGAGGCCAGGAGGCCGTAGGCGAGGAGGGCAGATTTCATTTTTCGTCTTTTTACTGGCTGCTCAATAGTTGGTAAAGAATTTCACTCCTGTCTGGTATATATATCCACACAGAGAGATATAGGATCAAGTACCTCCTCGAAGGACAAAGTATAGAAGGTTAATGATTGAAGAAGCAGAAAACAGACATCTCATCCTCGAAAAACCCACCATCTTTATACCCCCCTTCAGCGCCACTATCATCTCCCCAGCACTAGCAACAAACTTCCCCCAAGGTATGCACACAGCCCACTGATAATCGCCCATCCCCTGGGGTGACGATGCATTCCAACCTTCACCCCCCTAAAGTGAACTTGTCTGTTCGTCGAGGGCTGTCCGTGGCTCATGGCAACAGCCTAAACTTTCTCTGATCCAACGCTTTTTTTTTTTTTTCCCACTATCGACCTCCCACGGTAACATTTTTTTCAAGAATGAAGGGATCCTTCGTTTCATGTATCCGTGGGCAACAATTGCTGTCGCGCCCCCCATGGGCCGGAATGCTGCCCCCGTCGGCGTGGCATTCCGCGTCCCACCCATTGGGAACCAGCAACCTGTCAGCCGAAAGTCTTTTGACGGCTGCTCCACTAGGAGGATCGTCAGTTGGATGAAAATAGGGGCCGCTGATTTGTTAGGTTTCGATCATGAGGTATCGTCACACTAGGGGTACCTGCGTCAGCAGGCGTGGCAAGGTTTGCTCGGACAACAGATCAAGGAATTAGGAATGGGATGTCTTGTATCGAGAGATGTGGGACGGGCTGTGGTTGTCGTCGGCGTCGTCGTCCTAGGAACTAGATAAGTGGGCTGGATAATCGGGGTTGTGGATAATGCTTTGTTCGGGTGTATTGGGAACCAACCCTACTACTATTATTAGACGGTTTTGGTTCATTTCAGTACTGTCGATTGACTTTCCGAGGAATTGGCTGCGCACCTGGCCTAGAAGATAGGTTACACGTAATGGAAAGTGTTGCTTAAAGGGATTAAGTGCCTTGAATATTCCATTGGTATTATTTGTGTGATCTATTTACTTTTTGTTTCCCCGTACACCCATGACTCAATAACGCTCATTCATAATTCATGCACGGCTGAGGGACTCGCCCTCCTCGGCCTTCTGGAGACCGTACTTCTTCAGACTGTAGGACGGAAAATATTAGCTTATGCTTCCACTCGAGCCGGATAAAAAGAGACTGGGGTAGGACGTACCGGATAGTCTGGATGGCAACGAAACCGGTGGTGTCGGTGGGCTCGAAGTCGTCCAGGGAGTCCATGGAGGCCTCCTGCTCGGAGTAGAGCTTCTCGGTGCTGGAGGAGCGACCGAGGATGTAGACGTGGCCCTTGTAGCAGCGGAGACGGACCTCACCGTTGACGCGCTGTTAAGCTTAGTTAGATGATGCGGGCCAGCTAAATTCGGGTTTACGGGCACTTACGCGCTGGGAGAACTTGAGACTGTTCTCGATGAACTCACGCTCGGGGCTGAAGTAGCTGTGGATGGGTTAGAACACCTGTCGTATAGAATAAGATTGGCGAAGCACGTACTATCCATTGTAAAGCTGGATAGACCAGTTGTGGGTGACGAACTGGTCACGCAGAGCGCGGACCTGGCCGTCCAGGACCAGACCCTCGAGGTCAAGGTGGGCATCGCGGAGGATGGTCATGGCGGGAGCTGCAACATGTTAGCAAAGACCTAGCTGGGCGTGCAGTGTGGAGTGCAAAACACGTACAGTCGTAGCAGCCACGGCTCTTCAGGCCAATGAAACGGTTCTCGACAATGTCGATACGGCCAACACCGTGGGTGAAACCGATCTTGTTGAGGGTGTAGAAAAGCTCAACGGGGTCGGTGTACTCCTTCTCGGGAGTGACAAGCTTGGTGGGAACACCCTGCTCGAAGTGGATGGTGAGGTCGGTGGGCTCGTTGGGAGCGGTCATAGGGTCGGCGGTCATGGTCCACATGTCAGCGGGGGGAGTGTGGTTGGGGTCCTCCAGGACACCTATTGGCTTGTCAGTAAGACGATAGGGTAAACTACTGCCAACGGTTCACTTACCGGCCTCGTAACTGCAGTGGGCAGAGTTGGCGTCTATACCAATAGTTAGTATGCTTTAGAAAAATTACGCGCGGAAGAGCAATTTGACGAACCCATGGACCAGGGCTTGGCCTATATCATATTGTATTAGCCTATGTTCGCGCAATCTGTATAGACCCCACTCACCTTGGTGGAAGTAACAGGGATGCCGGTCTGGGCGGCGTAGTCAAGCAGATCGTTGCGACCAGCGAAACGCTTGAAGAACTTAGGGTCACGCCAGGGGGCAATGACCTTGATGGAGGGCTGGATGGCGTAGAAGGCAAGTTCGAAACGGACCTGGTCGTTACCCTTGCCGGTGGCACCGTGGGAGACGAACTGGCAGCCTTCACGCTGAGCAGCGCGCATCTGAGCGCGGGCAATCACAGGGCGAGCCAAGCTGGTACCTAGAGGAGGTCAATTGGTGTCCGGGCGTGTTAGCAGAGCGTCATGACGTACCGAGAAGGTAGCGGCCCTCGTAGATGGCATTGCACTCTGGGATGAGAGATTAGCGGACTGATCGGGGCACGTAGCCGGACTAGCAGTCTTACGGATGGCGGGGAAGCAAAGCTCAGTGATGAATTCACGGCGCAAGTCCTCGATGATCATCTTCTTCGCACCGATCTTGAGAGCCTTGGCCTCGACAGCGGCCCAGTCCTCCTCCTGGCCGACATTGCCGAGGAAGCAGACGACATCGTAACCCTCCTCTGTGAGCAATTGTTAGTCGAGCCGATCGGAATTCGACCGGAAATGGGGAGAAAAATGTACCGATGAGCCAGCGCAGAATGCAGCTGGTGTCAAGACCGCCTGAAGTGGGAATTGTCAAGTTAGTGCACCGAGCCTTATCAAGACCGCAATATGCGGGGTCGGGGCGGGCGAGAACATACCGGAGTAGGCCAGACAGACACGGGGCTTTTCAGAGGCCATTGTGATTATGTGAAGGGGTTTGGAGGGGGATATCGGATAGAGCGGCGAGGAGAGAGGTTGTTGGGCAGCAAAGAAGGATGAAAGAGGAGACTTGGGAAAGAAAAAAGATCGCTGGGAAGATCAGTTTTCGCGATGGCTCATTCAGGCGGTCGATGCAGGTCGTTGACTCATCCGGAGTCGGAGCTAGTGCCTTACGTAACATTATTGGAATTAAGCCAATCAGAGACTGTGGATCTCCCCGCATCGATAGGGGAAGTCATTATCGCCTCGTCCGATAAGTAATCTCCGTGAATAATGACTCACTACAATACGGGAGGTAGGTAACTATGCTCGTGATGAGTTACTGGATAGCATTGGAGGTGACAATACAACAGCTAGAGAATACCGTTCTCCAACTTCACACAATTAACCCGGTTCAGTACCTTCTAACATACTAGGATCAGGACAGAGGAGGGGACATTTCTGTAGTCACGTGCCGTACTTCCCCGACGGCTAATAAGAGGCCTCCGATATGGACCCGGGGAAGGGCACCGGCTACTGTGGGTGGAGTTCCTGAGTTGTGTGCACTCCCACAAAACTCAGTCCTCATGTATTGTTGAGCGCATATGAATACATGCGAGCTGAAAACAATTACAAAGAATGGAATTAGGAAGTATCACCAGCCTCTTTGACTCCCCAATCAACCCTTGAAAGCCGAAAAAGGATCGCACGGACTAAAATACGCAGTAAATAAGTTGCCGAGCTTCGTTTCCGCAATCAGTTATGTTCCTGTAGTTGAAGCTAGAATCATTCTTACCACCATCATGATCAACATAGATTAAGTAGAAATAGGTTATCTGGTAGTAAAATATCGGAACTACGTTGAGCAAGCTACCTGACCTCTGTCTTCAAAATTAGAGTAGACCTAGCAGGAGCAATTACTTGTCTGTCCATATGCTCCAGTTGTTTCAACTTGGGCTTTCCAATTCTGCATCTTTTCAGCTGATATCACTATTAGATGGAGTATAGATAATCTGCGAGATACTGACGGTTATACTAGCTCGGCCTTATCACTAGTTCGAATTTGTCTCTAGTCACTTATACTCAAGCATCGACTGGGCGCAATACTAAAGGAAATGGTTCTATAGTAAGCCGAAGAGCAGCCAAGGATGTCTAGAGCTCCCTGAGTACCCCACTACTGCAGCTAAGAATAGATAGTAGGACAAACAGCTTTCCCCAGGAAACTGGAATGGCGCTAGAGCATTTTTGCAGGACGAACCTAAATGGCCAGGCTATCTATCGATCGTTTCAGACGAAGGACGCCCTGCTTTCGCTGTAGTGCGGATGTTACGGATTGCCATTCGAGAAGAACTGAGAACCGGCTTAATGTATAACTCTTAAGTGTCGGATAGCTGTAGGCAGCAGAATCAATCTGTAACTCCAAGCAATGAGTCACACCCGGTCCGTAGAGACACTGCGGGCCCATATATCCCGTCATGAGTGGTTACCGGACGATCGCTATAGTCTAGTTCGTCTAGAGCGACACTACTGAGATGAATCAGCTTAACTTTTCTCCTATGGACCAGAGAGCACATCAGTCTGTCAGTTGCACCTAATGCACGACCCAGGAAATGCAGAAATTGTAGTGTTGAGGAGGCTATAGGCACCTTCATATCTAGTGCCTTGTTCGAATGATATATACGTATGAGCTCAGACGCTGATTAGATACAGTAGTTCTCTCATATATATATTAGTACCACATAATACAAGCTATTACATTACAGACTTTATCTTTGATTTGGTTCTACAGCTCAGCACCCTTGAAGGTTCTGGGCAGGAAACTTGCAAGGAGCTTGATCTCCCATATGTGGATACATATGGGAAACTGCTACGCTGTACCCATTCCCCTAGCCGACATTCTTCCAGCATCTTTTATTGATACAGCGTCATATTCTAGTGTTCACCTTCACGTTGGTACAGTGCAATTTCTAGCTATGGTTTGAAGCATCTTCTGCTTATGCCGTGAGACGGCAGCATTTATG